GTTACGTCCAAAGGAGGAGGAGGAGGAGGAGGAGGAGGAGGAGGAGGAGGAGGCGGAGGATGGATGCTTGTGTGATTTATTCGAGTGTTTACACTTGCATTTGTCTGAGGCGCAGTGGTCGTTATCGGAAATGTCACGATTCACTCCGCCTTCCCCATGCCCAATAGAACTGCCACCACCGCCGCCGCCTCCCCCACTAGCCCTGCTGCCACTTTCTGGCCAAAGTCCAATGATCATCAGGTGCATGTGGTGGCGTTGCTTGTATGTGCTCTTGCATAAACTTGTATGTATGCATTTGCATGCAACAGGCAGGCTTCTGGGTCTAGTCACAACGACCCAGCTTATGCCCACCACAACCATCACTCACGCGGCCTCAGTGATCGCACCTGCGCATCATCCTACGCCTGAAGTGCTTTTCTTCCCATTTATCTACCACACATTTTTTTCTTTCGCGAAGGCGGTTTCTGTAGGATTCATTACTTTTACGCTAGCAAACAGCAAAACTAGGAATTCAGATTCCATCAGGACAATAATGTGGTTCGCCTTCAATGTTATCAGTGCATCTGTTACGGGTCTTGGTTCACTCTGCTTAAGTTAAATGCAATTGCAATAAATTTCAGCGGTTCCACCTGGCCATCTGGTCTTCCAATCTGGATAAAAGTGGATAGAAAGAGAGAACCACATCTGCTTCACAAAAATCTTTTTTTTACGCTAATAGAAAATACGCAGATCATTTAACAATGAAGACAAAATATTTTACGTTCTATGATAATGTTTGGAGGGGACAGCAATTTGCTAATGTTTTAGACAGATCAGCTCAATTTTGGCTATAGGATCTTTCCATGCCCTCGAGTGCACCAACTGAATCGGTCACTAGACCAGATCCAATTCACAAGTTTGTTTGGTAAGGGAAGAAAGGGAGACTTAAATATTAGCATACAAGGGTTTGTCCACTGCTTCACAAATGGGCGGACATAAGTGCACCAGAAATGGAATTCCAAACACCATGCATAAAAGGGTGGGAGGTAAATGAAAAATTTATGCGAAACACTTACAAGAAATACATAACAAGACGCAAAGAAAAACCCCCCCAAAAATGGGAAGGGGAATATAAAGGCAGTGCAGGAGAGGATGAAGATACGGGATGGAGAACGTTGGGAGCCGCCCTAATTACTAGTCACCTAGAGGTAGATGATCACAAAGAATCTTACAGTGAATGGACAAAAGAACAATGGAAAGTTCCATTTTTTCCCCCACATCTCCATTCATCAACAACCGAAAACATATTTGGCATCCCAGTGGCAAACTAATATGTCCAAGCAGGAGGAATTGGGATTGCAGAAAAAAAATACATGAAATGAATTAGTCGGTGAGAGATTAAGAGCGTAGACACATTAATACATTCTAAAAGATTTTAGGTAGAATTAATAAGATCTCAGAGTCAATTTGTGCTTTGTTCCCACTGTGACCATATTCTTGCCGGTAGACATCTGCTTAGGTGGATACTGTCTGCATTTAACATAAAAGTCGTCAATGATAACGTCGAGTATTCAAAGTGTCATCAATTTCACCGCGAAACTCTGCCAGGTTAATTACATTAACAGCCATGGGAGAACGGTGCACTAACGCTGTGAGAGTGTACTTTAATGCCACCCTACCATGCCATTGAGTTTTTCACAGAGTTCGGACAGCACCACCTTTTCCACAGTCTGGTGACATTGACGGTGGGGATGGCGGCGGTGGCAGTGGGTGGGAGAGATCGGACATAGAGGCGTACCGCCACCTCCTTTGATGCTGTAGGGCACGGATGCACACAAGCGCACACACGTGAATGCCATTGGGGCTAGTGAGTGTGCGCTCACTCATAAACATCATAACCCTTTTCTCGTCCTCCTCTCTCCATCTGCCCCCTCATCCGCCCCCTACTCTAGTTCCATCCTTTCTGTCCTCTCCTCTGTCTACCCCCACCACGCCTCGGATAGACATACTTCGCCGAAATTGCTTTCAGTCACCGTTAAGGAGATACTCTTCATTGACCACTGTTTTGACACTTCACGAGCACTCCTTCTGGCAGGCTATGAACATTAAAGGCAGGAAAATGCTGCTTTTAACACAAGCTGTGCAAATTATTACCCATATTTATTTTTCCTGTCTTTAAAACCCACACTAATGTTACCGCCTAAAGATATTCGTTAACTGCGGGGCAAAATTTTCTTTTTATGAATTTACCAGTGAATGGAATTTTTGTAAGTTTAGTCCAAGTAATTAATGTTTACTTAGCCGTCTCACCCAGTTGTTACGACAAGACCCGCCAATTCCCTGCATCATAACAATTGGTAACTTTAAATTATAGACTATTTTCTGATGAGAAACAAGTCTGTCTGGTGGGTTAGATGTCAATTGGAATGGTGGACCCCGCGATTATCAAGAAGCTTGGGTATTTCGAAGTCACTAATTATGTCCTCATAACACGGATGACTGAGCAGTGGCGACTGCTGTTAGGAAACTGTTGAGACAAGCGCCAGAAAATAGGTGCACCTACAACTGGCGTTTTTTGTTTGGACAGAAGATGAACTTTTGACAAAAATAAAAGTGATCGAGCACATGCACGCCAAGGCCTGTTGACACAAAACCTCACTTTAAGTGGGAGGACTTTTATGGCTGTGTACTTCCTTATCCTTTGGAGTGATAAGCATGCGAACTGTCCTGGCAAGCAGTTGTAGGTACATCTAGCATTTCAAAGGGTTGTGCGAGTGTGAGAAAATGCCTTTCACTGATAATGTGAATCCTATTAAGAGCCCTTTTCAAAGACAAAACATGGTAAACGGGTGAGCATTAAGTAAAGTATATTGTGTAGGTGAAAAAAAGGAAGAACAAAACTCAAAAATAGAACTTCCTGCCTGATTGGTCTCAACAATCTACATCTTCCCGCCTGATTTCATAATGTACCATCGGCTTCTACATTTGGTTTGGATTACGTGAATTGCCAACATGGACCTGAAAAGGATTGCTTCCAGCAAGAAACAAGTTCTCTGTGAAAATGAGGGGTAATTTACGTGGTTCAACTGACAAAAATTCTTTGCAGTCAAAAGTCTTAAGGGTGAGGTGAGCTCCATTTGAAAAATAGCCACAAGAGAAAAGGCTGGAAGACAAATTATTTCACTGTTGGTTGATTGCAACTTACTGCGACTTTAGCAGTAAGTAATAAATCTCTACGAACAAGGCTGAGAGCAAAGGCAGGTAGTAGACATCGGGAAGTAGCACTGGTGGTGATGGTGGCGGCAGCGGCAGTGGTGGTGAAGGTGATGGTGTAGATTCACAAGAAGGTATAAGATGAAAAACGAGGAAGGAAAAAGGGAGAGTAAGCCGGTACAAACTCACTACGACTCGTATTTGCACGTGCATCGGATGGACTGTATGATGATTAATCGGTCGCACACAATCACAGATGTACAATTACGATGCCTCTTCATGCAAACACTTTGATCAGTCAAGCCGCCATTTGTTGTGATCTGTTTTGCTGCAACACGATCGGTAAAACAATAGCAAACAAACAGAATGGATGCCCCGAACACATTGGGGATACGCTTTGTGCAGTGGAAAAAAATCCTCCCCCTTTGATTTCATGCAATCGGAAATGATACAGTGAAAGTCAAAGAGTTCAATATAAAATTATACATGCCGGAAATGGACAAATAGTGAAGCAGTTTCGTCCCACAATATTATGATAAGCATCAAGAAAATAGAATAGGATAAAAAATATTTAACAAGTAAAATTTGAAAGAGGTCTACCAAAGGCTCAAATCTGTCATCCTGACCGACCGGTGGCTGCAGCACGGACTCCGGAGCAGAGAATTCGGACGAAGCGCAGGCAGCCTCAGCATCGGGTGCGTCGGTTTCACCTTCACTGTCACTAACCTCGACCAGGTCGTCAACATCAACAGTGGCGTTATTAGTTGAGGCGGAGGCCTGCATTTCCGAGGCCTTACGCTTCAACTCCTCCAGGACGCCGTGCAACTCGGTGATGCGATCCTCGTAGCGTGAGGCCTGCTGCGCCAGCTCTCTGCGATACCGATCATTCTCCCGCTGCAGTCGGTAGATCTCGCGCTGGTCCATCTCACGACTCGTCTAAAGTTGGGTGAAAGTAGACCAAAGCCACAAAGCCTCAGATATCGCAAAAGAATGTCGAGAAGGTTTATAAAAAGGTGTTTGTGTAGCACTTTAAATTACCACGCTTGGCGTTGCGTCTTGCTAAAATCACTTATGGAAAGTGATGCAACAATTTGCCGCTTGCTAGAAGTTTCTTTGGGGGTCGTAGCAGGTAAATCCTACCAAATCTTGTATTTTCTACATGCTTACTTCTAAAAATTGAATCTGCTGCTCCATATATGTAGCACGTACAATGTAACTGCACAATCTTTCCGAATCTTTGTGAGGCAAAATGTAGGAAGTTAACCAAAAACCATTTTTTAAACTATACTTTAAAATCCTACTTCGATAATGAAACATCCAACATAATGCACCTTGAAAAAAAGATGTCCCATGGCCTGCTGCAAGCGACGCTCCTATTCCTAACTCATTCAGCACGTCTTCTGTAGTTCAGTGCTAAAAACATCAAACCGACCAGTTCTCGCACACAAAAAAGGAACAACTACGCTTTTAGAGTGTCACAGGAAAGCATAGTGGAGCCTATCCTAATGTAGGGATTAAATCATACCATATTTTGCAAAGAGAGTCAGCTTGAAGAAAGCCAGTCAACCACACAGGTCAGATGTTAAAAATGCGAGCTAAAGTTGCGTAATTTCACAGTTAGTTCTACTGGGAAATTTTCCTGTCTGTGGCCTCATGTACAGGTGGAAAAGATACATCAAAATGGAAAAAGGTCAGTTATGCAAAAAGAAGCAGGAAATAACTTTCAAACGATGCGGATTTAAAGGCCAGTACCCTGACAAAAAATGCTTAAACTAAACATACCTGCAGACTTTGAAGGCGACAGCACAAGTCCCGTATTTCAAGCCGTAGCTTCAGGGTTTTTTGAACATGTACAGTATTTAGACACTCAAAAATTGATGACATGGCTTTCCGTATTGTCAGGAGGGAAGTGACTGAATTTGACTCCTTAACAAGCTGAGAAACATCAAAACTGTGATCAAAATCTTGGTCTTTCAAACTCTTGCCCAGCTTCGACCAAGAAACGTCTCCCTTTGTCTCTTCGAGGTGGGTGTCTCCAAAGTTTGGATCTGTTTGACACATAAATTGGTAAAGCTCAGGGTAGGCTTTCCGAAGTTCATTTAGAGACAAAGAGTCCCCAAACATGTCCTGTGCGCCAGAGTCACAATCAGCTGAAATGAGGTTTGAAATGCTGTAAGATCCTATCTTGAGTAAGGTTATGTTTTTATTGTAGCACAGTGGGATGAGCCCAATAAGGGGTCTGGGAAAATCGTATGTTAGTAGAAATCTTGGCAAATTTAGGTGTACTTTATAAGAGGTGTTGAACGTTCCAAAATATGTTCAGAAAATTGATAAGTTACGGTATAGTCTAGATAATTTATTTCCGTTAAAATCATCCCAAATAAAATAGTCTCGTACAAGCTGCATGCAAAATGCAAAAGTGGGATGGATTTTGGACCACACAGGAAGAGGTTGTAGAAAGTGTAGAATTAAATTTCATATAAAATGGCATGCTGCACGGGAATTTCGCGCCCAAAAGTAAATTTTTCTCGCATTGTTTTAATAGAAAATGAAGCCACTAGTTTAGGCCGAAGAAAATTTCTCTCAAAACAAGGTCATTTTTCCAATTTATCTATCACTATACACAGAAAAATTTGTGAATGAAGGACTCCAATTATAGGCAAATGGATTTAAAACACATTACGTTCAACAATACTAACATGGAGAATAACTAGGCGTTGTGAATTGGCGAGGTACCATAGAAAAGGAAGATTCAATGCCAGAAATAAATGCAATGGCATACACGTTTGGTTGTAAAATTAACAAAGACAAGAGAAGATATGGCATTGAAAATCGTCACTGCATTCCGAACAAATAACGAGGTTTGCAGTACATAAATAAATGTAAATGAGAAAAAGTATAAAATTGTAATCGCTCAACGTCAAACAAATCCAATCAATGTACTAATTAATGTTTTATGTTTAAAAATATACAATCAATTTATTAAACAGTAAATTTTGATTAATACAAAGTACTCCGCACGACGAGGTAGGACAATTTAATTTAGAGGTAACAAACCCTCCATAATCAAGATGTTTGCTAGCAACCACCTAGACTTAAAAAACTTAAAAAACCAAAATCATAACAAAGAGTAGGAAGACTGTATTGAGAAGCAGAAATATTCAACATCGTCAAGATTAGATAAAAAAACAAAAAATTGCATGTTAAAGCAAAAAATCGCACACACATTAAAGCACATTTACCGGAGTTGAAAGTGCTTCCGTCACTGGCTGAACTAACAAATCCAGGATGCGATGCTACGTTTTCCATTTGAAATCTTATAATTTTCAAAGAATGCAAAAGTCTGTTTTCAAGTGCGAAACTCCAAGATTATTGAGTAACATCACACAGCATTGATTCTAAGGTGTTCGAAAGCACCTAAATGTTTCGCAAGGCTTACAAATATCCTGCGCGTTAATTGCTTTTACAAATTATCGCGCTAAAGGTGAACTTAGAAAACGCGCAAGGCTGTTTACGCCAGATCATTGAAAAACAAAAACAAAATAAATCCTATAAATAAAAATCTTTTAGAAAATATTACTGGCATTATATACGTTACGTGATAAATCACAAAGTTAAATTTTGCAGCACAAATTTTTTCAGTCACTTAAATGGTACCTATAATGTTGCCCTACTCACGCGGTTAAACCAATGCGTAAGTTTAGGCGTCCTTTTGCCTTTGCTGACGTGCAGAGACCAAAAATTAGGTATTTAACGGACTCAGTAGTTATGTGATATTTGAAGATGACCCACCTTTCTCATTGCTTTTGCTAACCAATTCCAAATATGTTTTGTCCCCATTAAGTCAAAGTTCTGCATATAAAAAATTAAAATTGTATTTTATTAATAATATTCAATAGTTTAGACTTAGCTACGCAAATTAAAGTGATAATAATTGGTTCCTTTAACAATGAACGGTATTTGCTCATTATTTTTGTTTATTCGATTCACTGTCAACGCGGTCTTGTTGATTCGCTTCTTGGTTCTGCACAGGTGGAGTCGGGTGGCATGCGGCTCGTCTGTTTGCTTTTGCTTATTCTGGGTGCTGCTTCGTGTGGAAAGATTGTTAGGTATGTTGCCTCGATGTAAAAAGCATATCTAGGATTCGTTTAATTCCCGTTAACAAGGGACGGAGGTCGTTCTCCAGCGTTCAGGATTCTGTAAAACTTACGGGGAATCGATGGAGTGCGGCTTGTGGTTTGCGTGGACCTCATCCGGAACCATTGGAGAATTACCTTGATGTAGTTTTGATCCTCGACTCATGCTAACTTCAAATTAATATACTGCAGCCAATGACTCAAATATTTGAGTAAACTATTTTCGAATCGTTGCATTGAGCTCCTCAAAGCAAAGGATTCGTGACTTTTTCCTGCAATCATTTTGGAAATAGGTCGTCTTAAAATTTTAGGAGCATTTTCTATTCTTTTTGCTAGCTGTAAACATTTGCATTTTGTAAATATCCCCTCGTTTTCCTTGTTTGTCTTAACAGCTTATCTTCTCATTCAGGCGCAATATTATGGCGAGATAGAACTGGGCACTCCTGGTCAGAAGTTTATGGTCGTTTTTGACACTGGCTCTTCAAATCTTTGGGTTCCGTCGAAGAAATGCAGCTGGTTCGACATTGCCTGCTGGGTGCACAACAAGTACGATAGTAGAAAATCAACCACATATAAGGCAAATGGAACGGATTTCGCAATTGAGTATGGAACTGGCAGTCTCACTGGCTTTCTCAGCACGGATACTATCAGGGTATCTTGGGCGTCGAAGGTTGCTTCTTTTAAAGTGTTCACTAAAATTTAAAACTGCTTTTTATTTGCCTCAGTTGTCCGACATTCAAGCGCCAGATCAGACTTTTGCAGAGGCTACTAAGCAGCCCGGAATTGTGTTTGTGATGGCTAAATTCGATGGCATCTTGGGAATGGCTTTTAGTTCCATTTCCGTAGACAACGTTGAGCCTGTTTTCTATAACCTCGTCCGCAGGAAACTTATTGCTGAGCCCATATTCGCCTTTTATCTAGATAGGTAAGTTCGTCATAGGAGTTGGTGCTCATTAGACTACTGTAGCATGCTTAGTTTAGTTAATTTAAAATCATTATCGCATCTATTTTGCGTTTTTTAATAACTCCGTTCTACCAGAAACGAAACCGACGTTGCAGGAGGAGAACTAATGCTCGGTGGTTATGACGAGTCTTACGTCGATGGTCCCATCACATATACTCCAGTCACACGTGAGGCCTACTGGGAATTCCGTGCTCAGGGGTGAGTCTCACTTTAATAATACGGGAATGCAGACTGATACTTTTAACTAATTCTTTAAATCCAACTATGATGTTTTTACTCTTCTCAACGGAATAACAGGGCTAAAGGTTAATTTTCCCAAATACATAGAATAGAAAAAGTTAAGATATCTACCTCGCTGTTTTGTTTTGTGAGAATTGAAGTCGACGGTAAGGTCTTGTGCGAAGATGGCTGCGACGCGATTGCGGACACGGGCACCTCATTAATTGTTGGTCCCACCGAGTCGATCCGTCGTCTGGCCGAAGCCACAAACGCTCGACCGCTTCCTGGAGGTACTTATTTCGTTTTTTGTGACTCTGTCTCCTCCCTACCTCCTATCACTATTACGATTGAGTCTGTGAACTTCACGCTTACTCACGACGACTACATCCTCAGGGTAAGCTTTTACTTCACTCCCTGTTCTTCCTACCTCCTGCCGGCTATAGCTTGTACCGCCTTAAATATTGCTTTTTTAGGTGTCTCAATTCGGTCATGAAATGTGCTTACTTGGGTTTATGGGATTAGACATTCCCAATCATCCAATATGGATTCTTGGAGACGTTTTCATTGGCAAGTACTACAGCATCTTCGATCTGGGTCAGAAGCGTATTGGCTTTGCGCCAGCAAAGAAACAACCGCCAAAGTTTTCACAACCCGTCTTTCTGCCCTTCGCCAGCGATAATCTCCGCACCGTGGTTCCTATGACTCGACTTATACCCGCCCAGCCGATCTATAGCTAAAGTGACTTACAACTACGCCACTTATTTTCTTTATTGAACTGCATTAGACCTGGACCTATTTCGGTTAATATGCAGTGCGGCAATTTGGATACACCTGTTCACACATTCTTCCATCGTTGAGCAAAACATGGCCTTAGCATACAAAACAGTGGTCTCCTGTGGGTAATTGTTTGTGGGCTATGGGCTAGAATACGGTTAGTGGCAGAACTGACGATAACTAATGTTTTTTTCGATGTGTTAACGACCTCGAATAGGCAGTAAGTCAGGGCTTTGATCAACTTCAAGGTCATTCCCGGTGCACATCCGAGAACACCAGTTGATAAGTTTTCTTGCTACGTTCTTAAGTGACATCGAGATTGCTAGCTTGTCAAATGTTTTGCTTACTAATTTATCCCGCTACCTTTGTCCGTCTGTTGACACTGGTGATTGATAGTTTTGCATTATCGTTTTATTAGTGGTTGGGTGGCTACCTCTACTCACATTTGAGCCATTTCGGTGGGGGTAAGTATTTTCATTTGCTATCTGGAATCATTTTAATGCGGAACCTAGTAAAACCTAGCCTCAACAAATGAAGTACTTACCGGTCAAAGTTGCGCTGAAATCAGAAAATAAGTGGGTTTAGTACTTTGTTAAGGTGATAAAAAGAACAGGCTTTTCTATGGTACTTAGATTTATTCTTTAGACACGAAGGCTGTTACTCCACTGCAGTAATTCTGTTGTTTGGCTTTATATTAGCACCATAAAGACGTTGTTTAAGTACTTCCAGAGGAATGGCTCTGTCTGACGTTGTAGTTTGTATGCCGTCGGTTTGAAAAATCCAGTGAACAGTGGAGGTGAGGTAGTTTTTTGCTTCCTCACGGTCCGTGCAACGCGCCCAGGCTAATGCTTGCTCCTCTGGAGTGGCATTCGTCTCGTCTAGATCGCAGACTGCAAAGTCGTCTGGAAGTACGCTCTGAGGACTCCCTTTTTCATTACCTACTGCTTCCCTTTGTTGCTTCAGCAGAAAGAAACAGTTCGGTGAAGATTCGATGACTGGCTCAAATTCTGGTCGCACAACTTTCATGGCCTCGAGTACCTCGGCCGGTGTCACCATCATTGCAGTTCTGGTGAAAGAAGGCACAAAGACGACTGTCAGTTTTTGTAACTGTGCTAAGTTAAACTTGAAATAACCTACACATCGCTTGACTTTTGTCTTTGAATTTCTGTGATGATGTGTTCAATGATCATCCTTCGCCCTTGTTCAAGATGGTTCACAAGTGTTTGTACAAAGTGCGGAAGTTGTTCACCTGGAGCCTACACAAAGAAAGGAGTACGTGCTACATAAAACCCGCGTCTTCATACAAATCTGTACCTGGCGAAAAAGCTCCTCCAACGAGATCATCGTGTCCATATCGATGACTGTTGTTGCTAATATCTCGCCTTCAGCTTCATCACTGCCGTCCTCAGGCATGAGGGCGGCTTGAATGAGACTCAGAACAGCAGAACTTTGAGGTTCGCATTGAAGAAGTTTGGCGAGAACGATACCAAGTTGGTGAGCAGTCAGATGACATTCGGTATTCGAGGTGGTCAGTGGAGGTGGTACCTTTGAAACTTCCTTTCCATTCGTGATTGCTTTTGCAGCATCGCTCATCGTCTCTTCACCTACTTCCGTGGGCTTTGTGGGCACCGCAAAGGCAATAGCTGTAGCATGCGCCATCTCACGCAACTGACTGAACAGCCGACCAGTCAAGGAGTGTAGGTACCAGTGGTACGCTTCGTCCATCTAAATGTATCACCACTTATGATTACATTCTCTTTGATAAAAATCGCTGATCTAATTTGAACCTTTCGAACAAGCAAACAACAGTAAGTTGTGAGGTCTTACATTTGTTCCGCCGTATCAGAAGTTACTGTAATCACAAGTTAAATTGGACTAGTGAACTATTGGGTGAAGTTTGTAGTTGGTGGGCCTCAATGTGCACGACCAACCTCATTGTCGATGATCTTTCGGAAGCGTACAATGTCCTCGCATTCGGTCATTACATCGCCCGCGACATATAAGGAGAGACTCCAGTCTCGACGAATGCCCTCCACTCCAAACGCCTTCTTCAGATATTCATGGAGGAAGTCATTGAATTTCGACAATTTCAAGTGCTCCTTGGTCCCACGACTTTTCTGAGGAGATAAGGTTGGTTTGATAGTTTATTTTACACAAAAGTTAAGTGCAATTTTGCGAAGATTTACTCAAAGTTGAATAGGAGATGGAGTACTTAAAAAGGCGCCTTTTAAAACGCCTCAGGTGGACTTTACAAAAAAGGGAAGTTCATTTTAGCTCCTAAATATTTTTGGCGTTAAAGTTAGCCAAGTGTTTGATAATGAGGTAGAAATTTCACGAGAACGGTGTTATGTAGTGCCAACCACAAGCAAACAAAAAAAATCACCAAATAATCCGTCAATTGTTTCTGTCTTCCGAGCCAAAGATAGTCAAGAAGTAGCAAAAGGTCGCGCTTGGGAAAGAGACGAGGTGGCATTTGTAGACAGCTCTCCAAGAATTTGGGAACTTTCTTCTTTGTCTCCTGGAAAAATGTAGAAAATAATATACACAAATTCTTGTACCCGCTTAAAGCATTGCAGTGTCAAAACATCTCCGTGAAAAATGGAGCAAAACAAAACCAAAGAAGCAGCACAACATCTAACAAAACAACATTATCTTCGGGTGTTTGATGCGAGCAGACTGCCCTCTTCACGCGGACCCGCTTACCAGCCTCCACAAAATTCTTTCATGGTCACTATCCTCAAGTCAGTTGCGTTTATTTAGTTCATTTGGATTTATTCAATCAGTATAAAATTAGAATCAAATATAATCAAAGAGATGAAAAATAAGGCGTGTACGGAGTGTCACCATGTGGCATGCTTGTGTTTTGTTCATCAATTTCGCTTGCATGGATGTCAAAATGATTGGTGAAGCTAAGGTTCTCAGTTAATGTTCCTCTTTTCGTCGACTTCTAAAAATTGTTCTGTTGATCTGGCTACGGATTGTGATGGCGCTGCCGCGGCTGCAGCCATCCCCGCTGTCATCGTAGCGGAGCGCGCAGTGACTGTGTCGGTGGATGCACTCACCTCCATTTCCCGACTATCCGATTTCATTAGGGGCGCAATGCTTGCCTCGCCCGCCAATTCTGTGGCAAAAATGACCAACTTCTCCTTTGAGGTTTTGCCTGTAGTCAATTGTTGCCAACGCCTACGACCTCCAGGTACCAAACTGGCTACTCGCGGCCAATCAGGTCTACAGTGTAAAAAAACTCACTTACATGTATCTAGCTTATTTGGCCCTTCTGGTCACATTGTAACCAGTGTTAATCAACGTCAGGTGTTCCATTTTTGTGCATAAAAACGTCACCAATTTTTTCAACATCAACATCATTTTTAGGGACATTGAACTAGTTGAAGGCCACGAGTAACTTGAGTGATCATGCGTTTCACTTTGGAAATTCAACCCTAATTTTGACACACGAAACAAATGTGTGACTTTTAAACACCACAAGTCTACATAAATTTTTAGTATTTCGATGGAGGAGAGTATATGTGATACATTTGTGCCTAAAATGGTTTTGGAAGGTAAAGAGATTCGATTGGCTTTACGCTTTTAGCCATAGGCACCGACGATCCTGAAGTTACAAATTAAAGACGTCTTTCTCATTTTAATGCCAGAAAATCCACCAAAGATTAGAGGTTAGTTCTGCATCAAAATTACAATTTGGAAGAATGCCATTCATGTGAGTGCTTCGCTGGCTAAGCATGATATCACGTGCGCCCATCATAGGAGAATGGAGTGATACTGAGGGAACACTGCTAGTTTTCAACCCAAATTCAACTAGTCCATATTTCAGCAAAAACTTACCGTGGTGTTGAAACATTCTGCAGCGTAGCAAACATATCCGCCAGTTCTCTCTTCTCCCGAACTGTTGCCGATAACTCCTCAGTCTTGGCACTAAATTACACCATAGAACCAAGATGTCGAAAACCCTTCGGTCGATTAGATATGAAAGTACTTGGATTTAAAGCCTTTGATGTGGAGAATACTTGCGGCAAATATAGTGTGCACATCGATGCATTTAAACTTACGTTAATTGAGTGTCCAGATCTTGACATCGAGTCTTCAATCGCTCAACCTCAGATTCAGCAAGCTGCAAACGATTTTGAACATCGCTGAATTCTCTCTTCGGTACGACATCATTATATTCTGTCTCCAAATAGACTATTCTTTTTACTGCCTGTGTATGGGCTTCCTGCGCTCGCCTGGAAATTAAAATCCACTTATCAAATAAATAATTCAGGCGATGTAAAAAGGCATTGAAGCTGTACTATGTTTCACCGAAGATATAGAGTCAACCACTTCCAGTTTTGCTTAAGAATCACAAGCAGTATCTCCGACTTTATTCTTACTCTAGTGCAATTTTAAGAGTGACGGGGTCTCCGCCTTCCTGACTCTGATAATTGAGTTCCTTAGTGTACTCCAGGAGGTCGGAATACTCGGTTCTTAGGTGATTCAAATCTAATATCGCCAATTTGCGGGCATCTGTTTCGCGCAACAATGAGTCGGAGAGATTTTCAAGCTTTTCATGCAGCTTTTCTTGCTACATTTGAAGACAAGCATACTGCGACATCAAAAATTTGATCATGGATTACAGTCCAATTTTATAAATCTAACAAATTTATTTGATCTATTAGAAACTCAAAGAAGGTACAAGCATGAAGATACTACAACGTTAGGATCAAAGCAAATCGTGATTATTGAAAGGGATGATAGTGGGTCGATACGCCTTGGAGCGGAACGTGTGTTGACTTGCTTAGTCTGGGAAATCAACACAAGTTTAGAAACTTAAGAATCCTACTCACTGCAACCTTATTACCCTTCTGTTCTTCCTTCATTCGCTTTATTTTGTTTTCCAGTGATTCAACCTTTCCTTTTAAACTTTTAATTTCTACGAGATATGCAAGTGCAAGATTGCAGGATACCCTCATTTTCCTTGTTTGCGTTTGAAATTATTTTGCGTTCATATTCATTTGTTACTGTAAAAAGCAGTTCCTAAACGATATAATGCTAGTCTAGTAGGATACTTGAGTGGGTCCAAGTTGGCGAGCAGTCTTTCTGAAGTGATGAAGGACATTTTCGTACTCATTTTTTATCGAAGATAGAAGTGGTTGATACGTCTTGAAATTGGATATAATGATATCGAACGCTTCACGAAAAACCTTTACCAATTACAAACCTTTACACATACGCATAATCGTTCTATGCAGGGTTCAGCTTTTGATAAACCCATTTCCTCTAAACGACTGTGCAAAGTGTTCTCCACGACCTCAAGAAATTTGGGCTTAGTCGTATCTTCTGAGACCCATAGTTCTTTAAAAGGAACCATGTTTTACTTGGATGAACTTTAAAGCTTGAACTCGAGCTCTCATTTTTAGCTGAGTCAGACCTGTCGGCCAGTGACCAGTTTATGGAATGTGCAGGCCAACTGTCGATGATTTTCTCAATTTTAGAATCAGATATCCGCTTGAGTTGGAATTTTCGGCATATTCCTTTATTACAAATGGAATTAATAACTCTACTCCTATCGGCTCGAGCAGTCATTTCAAACTGATGTGCTGACTCTTGTTGCTACGCTTCCAAAGTGACCATGATCTGATGAATTAAAACAATTTTAAACTCAAGTCTAAATATAAACAGCGATCCTTAAATACGCTTTGGGGGATCGTTATTTGCAAAATATTCAATGTGCCACAATTTTTTGTGGTTAAATCTGGTTAAAAAGTTTAAGGCCACAAAATGTTAGGTTGCGGTTAACTTATATTTACATCAACGCAACCAACACTCAATGTAAAGCCTTTTGAGTACTAAACTCTACACACCCAAACAGTGCAACCAGAGTGATTAACCAACACCCATGAGTACGCATACACCTGCAGGGATCAGGACTTGATGCCCGTCTAAGAGCCAAAATATGTATTTCTAACCGAGCCAACGTCGACCGATCCTGGAGGCGTAACTGATTGCAAGCCGCCTCGGACTTAGCTGAGTCTCACTACTCCCGGCAGAAAATACACCCCTGTAAGTCCTAATACCCCGATCATGGACGCCAATCCCGATGACATCCACGACCATAAGGTGATGAAAAAAGCAAATAAAACCTACATGGGGGACCAAACATAGTATCAGAGCTAAACGATTCAATTAACAGCAGAAGAAATAGTAAAAGGGTGACTGTATATGTAGAAATTAAATGACCATTAGCGAAACAAGTAATCAGACAAGTCATCTGCTCATTGCAAGAGCCACTTTCGTGAAAATATCAGATGTAGGATCCGCAGTTTTCGTACCTTGTGTCACGCTTATCGCCAGCTGGAGGAAAAATGGAACATGATCAGCGAAAGTTAGACTTTTAGAAATTTTAGCCAAATAATGGCAGCGACTAACCTCCTGAGCGTCATTAGAACGCATGTCCCCACGCAACATTAGAATGGTGTAAATTTGATCTGTTCTGACATCAGGGAAGCCTTGCTGCAAGCGCTTTAAAAAAATGCAAGGCGGCATGAGAATTTCACAAATTCAACCAAAGTAACAAAATGATCAATTAGAATAAGATTTCTCTGCAGCAGATGAGTTTTCGCCCGCCACATGTTCAATAAGCGACATTTAATTTATTACTACGAATAAGGGGAGATAAGAAAGCAAACTTTTGTCCGATTACGTACTCCGACATCCAGGGAGAGCATACTACGGTCGTCGTTCGTGAGAAACCTTCCAATCAAACCGATGGCTTCATATGCATCATAAATCTACAACAGCAGCAAAATAGGAGCTTGAATGATGCATAAAAACTAGCACCTTTTGCTTGGCCAAAGAACAGCACCTACCTTTGGTGAGACAGGGATTTTGTTTTCAAAAAATGTCTTAAGGATTCCAGATGACTGGATAAGTTTTTCTCCTGCTGTGTGGCGTTCGTGAACAGAGGTGAAATTAAGCGTTCTGCGAAAAAAAAACAAAAAAAAAAAAAGAAAACGAGTCGATCGGCAAGATAGGAGAACAAACTAAGAAGGATATTAATGATTTACTTTGTCAGAAGCATTTTTAAGCATTCAATTAGGAGGTGCGTGGCCAAACGAGGCATCAGATCCTGATAGTAGGTTTGATGTACATGCACCAATGTTTCATTATAGTCCAACAGTGTACCCGTAAGGCACTGTGTAGTCAAGTCACCCGGACTCAGCCTGTACTAAGGGTAACAGAAGTTAGCTCAAGCTTATGCAGCTATTTATGCACAAAAGTCAAACGCTTACCATTCGCGGGTAAGTACTCCAGAGATAACTGGAGTCAAGTCCAAAAAGACTGTTTCTTCTGCACAATTTAAGCTACAAGATAAAGTCGAAATTAAGTCCTCCTGAGTGATTAGGTCCCGTAAAAGCTATGCAGAGGCATACCATAGGGCGGCCACCTTGCCATATTCCTCTTTGAGACGACCCAGTTGGGGCAAAAGACGTCCTTTAAGATGGGCATCGTTCTCTACCTCGCGATTTATGACTGCAGCAAAACTGTTTGCAATCGTCAGCGTGTTGTTAGCATTAGCCAGCTATAAAATGGTAAAGGCCAAAAGGATATCCATGTTTGGAATGCTGTGTAGAACAAGAATTACGCGTTTGCATTGAACATCAAAGTAGTTTAGAGAAACTAATTTGCGTGAAGAGTCGAGGTGTATGAACTGCGCAACTCTGAAAGACACTCGAACGATCATTTACCAGACTAGAAAATGGTCAGTAAATTTAGGTTGGCTAATGACGACACGTGTGCAACAAAACACCCCAGTCGTGGTAACGCATCTGTGAGTTTTCATAAAAGTAGAGTTCACCTTCATAATAGAAACGAGGAAAGAAAACTGTGTTATGGAGTCATGAAAAGTCAGTAAATATCTACATGAAAATTGCTCACAATGTACTCAATGTAGTAAGGAAATTTGGCACGATCGTTGAGGTAGAGGGTACGGTAGTCGCGAATACTTGCTACACAAAATGAGAGTAGAGCTTGGGTGACAGTAGTGGAAGACGAAAACCAACATTGAAGAGCAACCCACATTCATAATCCCTTGCGAACCGAGTGATCTCCTGTGTGCATTGCACTAAGAAATTCTCTCGAACAACGTTACCAAGAAAATGGAGGAGTTTCCCTTCACCTACCTAAATGCGAGGTCATTAATTCGGGTAAATCGTCAAAGCAAGTACATGAAATTCGAGAGTATGTTGTAAATGTAAAAATGGAGGAGAAATCAAGACCAGGCCATTTTGAGTCGACTCACAAGCTCGTTGATAGGAGATAAAACCATGAGAGAGAGAGGTGTGTAGTAATTTGAGGCGTCGTTTAACTCCGGCTTTGTAGCCCGTTTCCAATCCTAAGGAGAAACAATGTAGCAAAAGATGCAAAATAAATTCACGGCACACATACACACGCACTCACCTCGACGTCAATTGCCAGTGACTTAACCAACCAGCCATTCAGTTTGGTGATAGTCTTTTTCACATACCTAACATGGGGAAGAAGCGAAGTCAACGACCAACTTCAAACAGTGCAAAGGAAATTACTAATGCAGTAAGTGGAAAGGCTGTAACCACAGAAATATAGACAAGCGCATCCAATAAAAAAAGTAACGAACTCTTGTCGCAAACTCATAAGCTTGTCCTCAGGTAAGAGATTAGGTGGGTATTTGATATTAAGGCGAGAAAAGTCAACATTGAAAAGAGGATGCTTCATGAATTCTTCGGTACTGTAAAGAGAACACTCACAAAGTAATCAAGCCTCCATCCGAGTACGGCATTAATAAGATAAAAATCGCCTACTGATATGCATTAATCCATCCCAAGAGCTGGACAATTTCAGTGTCGTTTAAACCCTCGTTTATCAGATTTTCGATCTAAAACAGTTGATTGACAGTTCTGTATACCAGGAGTAAATGTTCAGGAAAAATAAGTGCTTCCTTCCATATTAAAACTTACATGCATTCCTATTGCGTCATGATATATTTCGACGAATCTATCGAATATCTCATAGTCTGGGGGAAAATATACGGGACAAATGTTCTAGAACGAGCAAATAAAATTAGCTTGACCTTTTGAATGTGCCAATCAAGGCATAGGTAATGGTAGCAAATAACCTTAGCAATACGCAAATCCCTCAAGGCATGCTGACGAATTGCTTCATTGTGGCGCACCAAACGAGTTTTTTCGTTCTCCGAATCCACTGAACACCCTTGAACACTTCAGACAGAGAAAAGGGGAATGAATAAAAATAAAATGAGAAATTCAGGCTTTGTCAAGTGCAGAGAAAAAAGACACACCGGTCTTGAATTATGCGTGTCAACTCGGCGAAAAACTTCTTTTTCCATTCCTTCGGTCTGCCATCAGGCATGAAACCACCCTTGCCTTGGCGTTTCCTCCAAATCATATCAGCTCTGAAATGCAAGGAAAAAATAGGCATGATAGGGAGTGGAAACATTCAAAAGCAAACAGTTTCAGTTTCCACCTCTCTTCTCTGTCGATAATACGAATGCAGTTTACACAAAGGACATTTTGAGTGACCACGGCGCTGGTCAGAGTAGCCCCAACGTGCTTGATTTTCTCTAAAATAGCAACATTGAGCTCATCTAAACCTTTGAAGAAGGTTCGAAGAGTCTGAAGAGGGACGCATTACATCACAAGGAAGGGAACTTACATCAAGATCGGCGCTTGAGTTTTGCTTGAAAACATCAGACATTATTTCGTCCCTAATCCCTTCCAATTCCTGGATCCTACAAGTCACATATAAGGATAAATTATCCAAATTTTTGTAAAACAATTCAACCGAAACCAATGAGAGCAAAAATACAAACCGTTTGTGAGCCTCAAGAAGATTGTCGCTTTCTATATAGCTCTTAGCTTCAATCATGGCATCCGGTACCTTGACTAGGTATGACATATTTTCAATTGCAGCAACGAGCTAGAAAGGCCCGAGATAAGGAAACGCCCAGGAAAACCTGCTTGTGCTTGGTAGAGATGACATGCAATTGACTTAATGAAGATGGAAGATTGCTAATTTTGGACAAAGATTTCTCCATTTCAGAGATCCTATTTTAGAGCATGAAAGTGTAACGAAGAGCCTCACCGTCCAGCACAAGCCTTTGAAATTCCCAGAGCCGACTCCAACTTGTCAAGACCATTTTGAATGCTGTCAAGTTGACCATGCACAGCCATCTTCAGCTGAGCTTCTGTGGCAGTCTGAAGAATTCCGAAAATGACTCAAACTTACCTTTTGATTCAAGAATCTGGTGCGAATAACATCAATGTTTTCCAGACTTTCCGGTTTCTAAAGTTGTACCAAAAGTATAAAGTTGCATCAACAGAAAAAAAATAGCAAATAAAAAGTATATTCAAAACTTATTTCAGTTATGAAACCAATCAACACCAGGTACTAATAGTCTGCACTAATGACGACATTAAAAAACAGATAAGGATGCAGATAATTTTCTCAGTAAACTAGAGGCGAACCAATTAGCTCATATTTAGCAGCTACAAAAAGCAATCGATAATAAGCCTAGAAAAACCTCCAATTACGCGGAAATAAACGGCAGCACAACTAAAGTAGTGAGCCGTGGTTAATAAAAGGAAAACGACCGAAGCGTATGAATACCTGGAATGCCTCCACAACACGCTTCTCAGCATTTCTTCGGGCAACCTCTTCCAGTCGCGACAGAGAGTCTACGTACGACATCACAGAACCGCAAATTTTCCACTATCCCACACCCATAAGCAATGCAAACCAACAAATGTATCAAAAGTAAGGCCCAAGAATCTTTGGATATGCTAAAGTGATAAAGATGGGAAGCATGTAAAAATTTTAAAATAACTTGCATAATATTTTTAAATTTCAAAATTTCAATCTTTGTAACTCGCCGTTTAAAGAATTTAAAAGGTTGCAAGATTCAAAGTAATTAGCGCTTAAGGAAGTCTGACCTGGATAAGCGATATAAAAAAACAAATGTAGTGCCTTTAACGCTGTAACGGTGCCACCAGTCTATGGATTCCGAAGACTTTCTAGTTGGTGATACAAGGCATGAGACTATGCTGAAAACTAGCATTCGGACAGAAAGAGAGAACCCTTATCTTTAACATATTTTGACAATAACATAGATAACACAACGCAAAACAGTAAGCTTATAATTTTCTCAGAATTTCCATTTAGTGGTGAAGAGTATAAAGCATATCTGAATATTCGGGTTTCGATAGAAGGTGTCCGCGTGGTTTCGTAGCTTTGATCAAATGCAGACCACGCCGCAGAAGCAGGATATCAATTATAGGCGACCATCACTTTATACACGCTACCGTTAACATCTACCCCAGTGTATCAGATAACGTAATGTGACAATGACGAAGTTGCCACCTCCCGTAATGCTTTGTTCATGTGACTGCCTGAGGTTTAGCGGTAACTTTAGAATTTATCTGGCCACTGTACACGTAGGCTGGCCTTCGGGCCACTCTCAGGCCCCATTTACCCTGTCGTCTTCGGAATACATGTATTCACCTCACTTGTGCTTTCTTCCACCCTATGGGAACCCTCGAGATGCTACAGAATTCGTTAAAAATGCCGGGTTTGTCTTCTGCTGCCACTAATCTTCTCACCGGCTAAAAGAAGGCAGGAATTGAAGCTGAATACGTGTATTTCAAAAAGTTTAAAGTGACTGGGCCTAAGCATGGTTCGAAGGCCAGTCCACATGTACAGAGGCCAGACATATCTTAAAATGACCGCAAAATGTGAGATGGAGACGTTACTTTGAGAAGTTACACATCGAATAGAGCATTAAAATAAGTGCATTCCTATGAGTCTTCCCATTAGGTAGAGGAAGCATTAGGTTGGGATGCATCCATGCGCGCTTGGAGGAGATGAATGGATTGGGTCTTGTCCTAACCTAAAGACCAATCTACGCATTAAAATGGAGGGCAGACACCAAGGTAACCGATAGTCATACAGGTGGTATCGGAGACAAAGTTCTGGAGCGTTAGTGTCCAAAGGCAAATTTATGGGCAAGTGGGGGCATAGGGTTTGCATTGACTGTGCAGATTTTGGGATAAACGGAGGCTATATAGCTGCTTTTATGGCCTGGCGATGTAGAATCGTAAGTGGCTGCCACTGTTGTTGGGATTCAAACCAGGAATACAGAAAAAAACTATACTGCGAAAACCTTTTTGTCCCTCATCCATTTTGCTTAGTTATCAAAAAAACTATAGCGCACTGTGCATTGCAATCTTTTTTGAAAAATCTTTATAAGTTTGACATCAAGATAACGAATATCGAAATAGCTATAGTAGGCAATGCATATTTGTGCCGTATCTCGACTTCAATTTGCGTTTTGAAAGCGTGTCGTAATTTTAATAAATGATTTGACAAAACTGAGAACTATTGATAATTCTTAATGCGATCAACATTTGACTTTCCTAATCTGGTTGCTTTATAATTTTTCCCTCGGGAGCAAATGTACCACGGCGCTGCAAACAAAATGTTTATGCTTGGTTGGTATATTCAAGGTCAGGGTCAAGGTATTAGTAGACCAATCAGTGCTCTGAAATGGCCTTCTTGTTCCAGCTATCGTGACGTTTCACCGCATAGGACATTGCGTTGGCTCGTGTGTTTTGGCGGTCGCATGTTTATCAGAACAATTTAGTAGATGTAGCGTGTATTGAATCCGTTAATTTGCAACCTTTCCATCATGGAATTAACTACCGTGGAAGATAGTTCATCCAAAGTATCACCCTCTCCATGGAAGAGCAAGGCAATGGACTTGAACAAGGATCCAAAAGTTGAATATTGCGGAGTTGGGTTGTGGCGTCCATCTTGCCTAGAGCCACTCAGAGATATACGCGCATTTATAGCTGCGATGTGTTTCGTTTCATGTCTCCAGGCCTCTTACTCTGGGTACACCAGTTCTCAGATCACAACTTTGGAAAAGCGATTCGCAATCGGTAGCATTGTCATCGGAGCTATCAACTCATTTTTTGAGGTTGGCTATATTAGTTGCGTTATGATAGTCAGCTATTTGGGAGCCAAGGGGCGAGTACCGTTGTGGATCGCTTGTGGACTTTTTGCTATGTCATGCGGTGCATTTCTGTTTTCGACGCCTCAATTTCTCTTTCCTTACGACTTGTCACTTTCTTCTGGTAATAGTGAACATTTGTGTTCCGTAGATTTTTCACTTAACCGGACCTTATCAAAGAAATTTACTTGCAATACCAAAGTTGATGGATCATATCACTTCTTGCCGATTTTACTATTAGCCCAGTTCCTTATCGGTGCAGGGTCTAGCCCTATTTTAACACTTGCTCCTCCTTTTGTGGATGATCACGTGCCTCCGTCGAAAGCTCCTGCGATGATTGGTGGGTCATATTATTGTTTGTCTTTTCTGTCTTTACGACTGGGCACATAAGTTTATGAGTCGTGTCCTTCAGCCTCCTTGTATGCCGCTGCTGCGCTTGGTCCCGTTTTTGGATATGCACTGGGTGCCTTAATGCTGCAACATCCCATGGATAAGTGGTCAAAAATGAAGGTTATTGGCAGTACCCTAACCCCAGTCAGTGAAGATTGGATTGGCCTTTGGTGGGCCGGCTATATCATACTTGGTGAGTTCATAACCATAGAGGATCTCTCCACTTCAAACTAGGGGATTTTTACACGCCTATTTGCCCTTAAGGTCTAGGCGTTTTCATAGGTGCCTCCATTCTTATCATGTTTCCCCGAACTTTGCGCTCCTCGTTCACACCACACAAGCGGTCTTTGGAATCTGACTTGATTGCCGGAAGTAGCAACAGTGGCGGAACTGTGGATGGCAATCTGAACGACTCAAAACCAAACTCCACTGCGGAGTCTTCACAGCCCTTTTCCCTTTCTGCCCTCCAAATCCAACCAACTTCTAACCAGTCCTATCAGCATCGTGCAGTTTATCAACACCACCACAGGTCTTTCTCTGGGAACGTGCCTGTCACTTCCGCACCGCCTCTGGGTGTAGGAGGCACCGCTCAAAGCGCCTCATATTTTCCTCCTCGACATCACCAGAGATCCGCCTCCGTTAGCAGCATTCTTCTTCATGCTGCTATCATCGCTGCGACTGCCTCGCACGCTGCAGAAGAGGAGGATGAAGCACTGCCCTCTACCGAAACTGATTCGGACAGCTCTTCAAGTGAATCGACTTCCTCTCACGATGACAGAGAAAGGCTGGGTGTGTGTGTGCAACTGCTGCACAGAGGTTGCATACATTCCTTCAATTTGACGTTCTTACACATCCTCTTTATTGCAGAGAGGCGGCAGAGTCGAATCGACCAATCAGTAAATGAGGTGCGGCGAGGCAAGCGCCTTTTCCGGTCCCCGGTCTATCGGAGTAAGAGTCTTTCCGCTCAACAGCAGCAGCAACAGCAACAGCAACACTATAGTCGCAGGTGGACCTCTGCCTTCTGGTCTTCACGATCTCCAAGCCGTGGAGTGTTGCTACAGTCTTGTGGTCGTCCGTCGCGATGGTCTCAGAGGGGTAACCCATTGGGTGTTCCACCACCCATTCCCGACGTCATGATGGAGGATAGCTCTTCCGAGTTACCTACAACTCCAATCACCAAGGTACCTTAACTGTTTTTCTGGTCAGTCTTCTATATTTTCTTAAGGTCATGTTATGGGAAAACTTAAGTTTGTTCATGTTTTCCCTTGATCATGCATTCCTTTCGCATGGTATACACTGCCGTGTTCTCCATGCCTAACATAGGCCTTTATGACGGCTTTTGTGAGCGCTCTTTCGGAAGGTTCAATGCGTTCATCACCAACTAAAACCACGTTACATCACCTCATTAAATAGTCGATTATCCTTGAGGTCGTCAATTCCAATTGCGTACTACTTATTATTAGTGCATTCAGAGTTATATGCTATATGATTTGAATCTGAAAACACTAATTTACAGGTGAATGTAAAGTCTGAAGATGGGACTGATTTGGCCGTAAATGATGAGTTCGCCTCCTCGGTAGGCGTGCGACGCACTCATCCGCCCATTTTAGAAGGGGATTCGGGTGTGCCTTCACACTCCTCTTCTAACGCTAATCCACCTTCACCTTTCGCTCCAACCTCCTCGGCTTCGAAATCGTCCATTTTTGTGCACCTCCACAGGCACCGCAAACGCCGACCTCACAAAATCATCCGCGGTCGTATTTTCGGTTTCCTCGCTGATTGGAGCAGTGAGTTTCCTGATAAACGCTTTCGAGCCTTTGATATTTTAACTCCATCATCCCAATTACCATCAACATGATAGACTTGCATTGCTAGTAAAGGTTTAAGATACAAAGAAGTGCTGATTAATTTTCTCAGTGCTGAAATTGCGGTTCTACTTCCCAGTTCCGGCAGGATACGTCTCAGTTTTTTTTATTGTTTCTTTTTTCCTTGTTCTGACAAAGGTGTTTTTTGTAAGGGACATTTCTCTTAGCTTCGCTTTTGCCTTATTCTTGTGTTTGCGGTAAATATCAGAAGACACTCATCCAATATGGGTTTTTCGCCGAAGTGTCTAATTTTTCCTTACGGAGGAAAGGTAGAGTGAGATATTGACTTTCGTGCCACGCTATTGTATGCATGGCACTAGTTCCCATGCTGATGGATTGCGATATCACTGTATTAGCCTACTGGTTAGGGAATATGAAATTTTGATTTTTGGAGGGTACAAAGTTATCACCTCTGTTCAGGAAACACGTCAGTTTTCGCAGTTTTCTCTATATAGTCCGATGACATGAGCTTTGCTGCAAAACTGGTGGTCCAGTCTACTGCCTGTAGTTACAAACTCCGCCTTTTCGGCAGTCACATGTGCTGTTGATTACACTCATGGCAACTACTGCGAAGAAAGGCCACTCCTGGCTCTGGTGCCATCACTTCCGTACGTGCTGCACATAGGATTGAGTTTTCAAAGTAAAAATATGAACTTTCAACAGGATTGATGTAACATTTGCCGGCAGTGAATCTAATACGGTCGGTGACACGAACTCCGAATGGCATTGTGCGAATGTATGTGTACATTATTTCCTGCTTTCTAAATTTGCTGAATCTTTCGTAACCACTCAACTTTTATTCTACTTCTCTACGTCCTTTTACTAAAGCTTCCCACCTCAATAGTTTAGTTTGATTTTAGAGTTAATTTCTCATGTCCGGTCTGATAGGCTTTATGGCACGCTAAAGTACAAAACATTGATTGGTGGTCAGCAAATAGGGTGTCTAAATGCTTTTAGCGTCATCCCACCATGATTTGTCCCCTTTTAATTTGTTTTCGGCATGGGAAAGATGTCTAAAACGGAAAACACTGCTTTCTACTGGAGTCGCCGTATACATCTGCTCTATAGGTGCTGCTGCACATTTGTTCACAACTAGTTCGTATTTATTTGCAATCAAGACAATAACCGACAGACGACTGTGTGAACCCACATTTTTATCTCTCATTTGGGCTTTGAAAAACTACTAAACTGCACCTTTGTAGCTCTCTTTCAACATTGTTTATAAGGACCAACAATTGGGCTGCTAGTTGAGTTTCCTCGCAATTACTGGGTACTTTGTATGCTTTTGCGGGAGTACACTTACTTCCACTCTAGAGTACGGTGCGTAGTAGCAGAAAGCCTTTTTCAAACTCGGTACAAATGTGACAGCGAGTATTGCGCCAACAAATAGCAGTATATCTTTTTCAAAGTACCATCTTTATTAATGTTAGAACTGAACGCTAACTTTCAAGTGCTCATTATGAATTGAGCAATTAACACTCAATGGTCTGGTCATCATAACCCAATAATTGAGTTTTATCTTTCCTCCTAGGCGTAACCTTCAGTAAGTTCGTTTCCATCTGAATCTGTCGCATATCGACTGCATTCTCCTCCACCTCCAGATCACAAACACGCTTACCTTTGCTATTTTTCATAAACCCAATTTTTTATTGAAGGACATTTTTCTATGTCCATTGTGTGCTTGAAGGGGTGAAGTGAATTGAGTATCTTCTGCGACCCCTATTTCACAACACTTTGCTACACATTCATTCCTCCATTTAAGCATACGGCGCATGCATTCTGGCCACATAACCCTCGAAATTCACTGAAATTTTGGGCATTGTTACACATTTTAACTTCCACTATCCAGGGTAAAAAATTTCGAAGGATATGTAACTCATTGTTTCTCGCAATCCCTGGATTGATGCTGTTTGTTTTTTCGTGATTATACCTCCGCTTATTTCCATGAAACTTAAATACGTGCTACGTTGGCAGCTAAGTCTATGATTTGCCGCCTACGCAATAAAACAAGCGGCCACCGCTAACACCGCATTTGCACACCCTTGCACATCTTCTGCAAAGCTTTTTGACATGTGTCTCCGTTTGTGGTTTTTCTTTAATACAATTCGTAGTGAGGTCTATTTTCCCCTTCCTCCTTAAGCCTTGCATAGCTTCACCCTTGTTCATTTTTTGAAGAATTCTTGACCATTCTCACGTCATCATTATTTTCGTCGTCGTCGTCACCACCACCACCTTCTCTTATGGCTCTCTCATACACCTCATGCTAGAATGAATGATAGGTCATTCGGCTGCTACGTCGGCTAACAACCTCACGGTGGTACAATAAGATGTATTCCTTTATGATCGAGTTAATCACCTCATGATGCATCTAGGTGGCGATCCATCATACAAGTGTCCTTGCTATAAGTCGTACCACTTATTTGCCTGCATTTCTTCTCCTGTAAAATCATCTCTTGCATGGTGCGAAATCGCAAAATCATAACTATATTGTTTACCCGATGGATGTTTCGTTTTTAAAGGGAAAATTTGGTTATGGTTGCACCAGCTACAGATGGGAAGGATGGAAATACATCCGGTAGAATACAGGAATTTTTTTACTTGCATACCTTTGCTGTTTCACTCCACAATGCTAGGGATGCATGGGGGTTTCGAATGTCCTAACTATGTACCCTATAGCCAGTGCAAAATTTGCATTTTCTTCCTCTCGAATTGGCATCACGCCTTTCATGGTGATCCTACCAAGCGAAATAGCTATTCCCCCAAATGGCATCAAATGTCTATGCTTTATAGTGAGTGTTAGGACATATTATTTTACAAAATGTTCACAATCTGGACCCATTCACATTAATTGCGTTACCATTATCCCAAATCGGTGTAATGGATTACCTTCACTGATGACACCGATTGTTTCACTTTGGTCAGTATCTACTTACACACGGTCGCTCATTAGCTCCTGTGGAATCGTCTGCAGGGCATTTTTTAAAGTTGAAATTTGTACGTAATGGCTTCAGGAGGTCACACGACTGTGGTTGTCTCTCATTACAGCCACGCTGCCATTTTCTTTGTGTTCTAGTAGATCTCAAAAAGACCACTTTAATGTATCCCCCAGTTTCTCATATCTCTCGACTACGGTAGTTTCCTGTCAAAGAATTAAACGCTCTCACATCACCAGTATTAACATTGGAGTGAGCCAAAACTAACCATGTAATGCTATTGTTAAAAATGGACATTTACACGAAACCGTTTTTCCCATTTTATGAGTGCACATCTCTAATTCAACTTCACGCCTTGACAGCATGCCGAGCCATTCCAACTTTGGTACTTTCCCCTTATAGAGGATATTCCTAAGTCGATATTCGGTCTTCTGAAGAACAAAATCTACGTCGTTACGTGTCTCTGTATTTGCTGTGAAATGTTCATTGTCATTGGATTTGCTGGATTTCTCCCCAAGTATATGGAGATTGAGTACCAAATATCCAAAGCAACGGCTAGCATGATTGCCGGTAAGTCAGTGAACCTACTTAAGTATACCCCACTTCCACTTTATCATCTTCAATATTAACGCATTTCTGGACAAAATAATTCTTAGGCTACTTTTGTTTTTGTATTTTAAACGGCATTGTGTGGGGATTGTGAGTCTTTGACCACCTCTCAGGTAGAGCGCGTACAATAAATGTTCTGAATCTCTGCTTTACTTCATCTGTAACTTTCGTCACGTTGCTTCTGCCTGTGGTAAGGGCACAGGCTTTGTTTCTGTGCTTTTGAAGAATAATTTTTAGTAACTTTTGTTACCTCCAGATCATCAAAGTTATATTCAGCACAAACAAGTGCTTTAATTTTATGCTCGTTTGTGAATTTTCTAAATTTTTTTGATGCAAAATAAAGCTTTCACTCACAAGGCTTCCATTAATTTCACTTTGGTAATGCAAATTGGGATTGTTGTGCCCCCAGTTCAACATTTGTTTAAAATTAATGTAATCTTTTTGTGATATTTTACCACTGATTACGTTGCTCAACTGATTTCGCACAGTGAATTTTCCTTCCAGCATGCTGAAGAATACTTTAAATTTACCTCACTGTACCAACCCATCGGGAATACAGTTTTGAAAGACAAGACTGTTTCGGTATATTTACTAAAACTCCTTCCAATACAGAGAAGATGGGTATTCCTTTTGCCCTAATTATGTGGTAATTTGACTCAATGCATAGCTTTAATGTGTTAGGCAAATTGCTTCTTGTTTCGTTAATCTCGTCATATGGGTGGCAACAATATAGCAATATGGCAACAATAGTTCTTTCCAAAGGTTTCTGAGCTTGTATGTTTTAATCATTGGCTATAAGATTACCCTAGGCCTTGGCATAGCATCACGTAGCATATTCCACGGTGTAGGGTAAACGCGTTTTAGGTTGTGAAAAGTCTGTCTTTTTTGACACTTTTGTATTTTCTTAAAAATATTACATCCTTCAACACTCGACATGCCCATTTGTTTGACCAGCATGGCGTTCACTTAAGCCAAATCTTCTTGTGTTTATAATCGCCTCTAGTTCAGTCGCCATTCCTTCATTGTCACTTCAACCTCACAGCTTTTCATTTGTTACACCTCTGAACGTTTGATAACTCATATTTCGAATCTCCCGGCTAAAGCCGAATCAACTACTCTGCTCTTTCGAGTTTTTATGCCTGTTGAAAACGCTCTATGGTGTAGATCCTTGTCACTTTATGCGGTTCCTCTTATTTCCATGTTGGTGTGGGCACACGTTCTGATCATGTATGCCTTCAAGAATGTGCTACAAGATATTTTGTCTGGGTAGACTGCGTCATTTGGGCCATGTTTCTCCCCTCTCTCCATACTTGCACTTTTCCGTCGCATATTTTTTTTCTGTGGTGGAACTGTCTTGTACATCATCTGGTTCACAGGTGTTTGACCGATTTGCACTTGCATGATACCATTGAGGCGTCTAGCCTCGCATACTGTCAATTTACAGGGTTTAACTTCCGTCCATTGCATGATGCAATCTTGCCGATAAAAAAAACGCGACATGAAAGCATTTGCGTGCAATGCATTTGCGATGTACTTTTCATGTCTCATTTTGATAGGTATCCTGCTTTGAATGCTCCTACAAATTTTGACTGCCTTTTGGGTAGGGGAGAGGTTCATCTCGTGTTTTCTTCGTTCTTTTCGATTGTCTCTTTGTCCAGGAGATGCGAACTTCCTCCCACTTTCATTTATGTCAATTGTTTTGTCTCCAGGATATTTGCAATTGAATGGTAATGTTCTCCAGGGTAACGCTCTGCCTCATATCACATTTCAAATCACGAAAGTGTTTGAAATTGATCCCTTTTTTACTGCTGTTCGAAGTCCGGCTCCCAGGCCTGTCATTTTTTTTAACACTGCCTATAAAAAAAACGCATTTAGGACTCAAGTGTGGAGATTAATCGAAACTACAATTCTAAGATTTGTAAAACGTCAAATCTAAAAAATAAGAAGACGTCTGTTATTTAATTACCACTTAAAAGTCATGCTAAAATTCAGAATTCATGATGTCTCTACTCGCCACTGGGTGGAACTTTGATTGTTCGAAGTGATGTAACTAGCTTTTGTTTATCCAGTCTGTTTCACTAAACAACCAGACACACTAAGCTTGACTCAATGGTGGATAAGGCATTTCTCAGGCCACTGCGACTGCCTTACAGTTTTAAACTATAATATGCTGTTTTCAGGACATTTAGTGGCATAACTTTGTCAGTGCGAAAAAGTAACATCGTGTTTAAGTGATTTCCTACCTGCCTGAAATGGATAATTGCGTAATTATGTGGTTTTCTTTCATTCAATCACTGCCTCTTCATTCCTTTTATTGCATTAATTTGGTGAGGCTTGTGCAGCCTTGAATGGCGTCATGCTTCTCTTCCACAACCCTCTATCTTGGTGGCGCAATTCCACCCTCAAGGCAGACCCATGTTTTCTTGACATCCACAAAAGTGGATGCTTTGTGGTACAGCTTGGCTGCAAAAATTCCGTGTCATGATGGTGCGCGACTTCTTGCACCCTTAATTTGGGACTAAGTGAATGCGGATCAACCTACGGGCTAAATTGCTGTAGGGCGTTGGTCATCACCAACGTTTCTAGGTTTTCATCACGCTTGATTGTTCGTTTGTTTACTGTTATTCATTTCGCTAACTTTAAGATTATTTTGTCCACTTTTTTACCGCAACTCAACCACCTGCTCGTACTCAACGGGATGGCGCCCATCAGGTGCGAATGGTGCAATTTTTGGGCTTTGTAGCATACCATCATATATTTGATGCAATTTTCTCCTCAGGTCTTTGGGTGTCCCCCCTAGGACAGTATCAGTTCTTCTTCCATGCTTTAAACTACACAGAAACCGGTGTTTTAACAGAAGAACTTGCTTTTGAAATGCCAATTTTGGTTTCCTAGGTGGTCTCATAGTCCCCTCAGGGGCTTTGGGCATACTCGCAGGTGGACTGATTCTCAACAAGGCGCGTTTGAGTCAAAAAGGCAAGTTACTCACTGTCAGGCTCTTGGGTACAAAGTTGTTGTCTTCCCTTCCAAAAGTTACATTTTTGTTTCTCCATCAAATGGAAAATATTGGGAAACAAACGATACGTCTTCGAAGACTTGACGTTTTTATGGTACACTTACTCCACTTTAAGTAGTGCCCCCAACCCTTCGATGAATATGGTTTTAGTTATTGAAAAGAATTTCACATAAAGTGTATGTTTGAGTAAGTTTTGACAATTGCCTTTTTCTCTATCGAATTCTCCTTACTTTTCGACCCGGATACATCTTACTTTAACCTGTTAGCGCCTAATGACCACCCCCTTATTCACCAATGCCAAGATGAACCAATTCGCCCTAGTCTCTGTTCTTAACAAATTGTGTTTTTCGCCGCCTTTCACTCTTGCAAAAACCAAGTCCATCTTTGGTATACGGGGAGATACTCCTACAGGGCACCCTCCCATTTCACTACCCTTTCAAAACCATGTTTTCGTTGTGTGATTCCTTTCTGCCACCTACCTTATTGGCTGGGCCAATGTAAATGCGAACTCTTCCAAAACCTGTATTGTCAAAGCAGATTTACCAATCACCGTATGTATACACAAGGTCGCGTTTTGGTGTCAGACTTATGTACGAGACATTTTATGCTGTTGTTTTAGCCTAATTAGTATCACCATAAATTGGGACTGCAATTTTTGAATTAAGTCAAACCAAGGCCTTGGCCATAAGTAAGGTTCCTGACTCCGAATGTGGGCTTGGCTAAACACATGCTCACAAAAACCGCTATGCTATAAAGCAAATCTGAAAATTTTCAAGGCCTAGCCGCCAAGCGCTACGAACTCTCCAGCCTGTCTTTGGTGATAGGATCGGGGGTAAACTGCACTCCAGATTTTAAAGTTTTGTAACATCACTTCGATAAGCACGTGAAGGCGGTCAGTTAGAGACAAAAATCATGGACTTTGAACAAACTTGTGCACTACGTTTAATCGCGCATGTTCTTCCTCTTCTATAGGCGCTGTTCTCTTTGTGTTTGGCATCAACTTCTTCATTGTCGGTTGCATGAGTTCATTCTTTTTCCTCGGTTGTGAAAATCCCAAAATCGCTGGGTTCACTGTCCCTTATCCCTCAGGGTGAGTTACATGCATTTTAGTCACCGATCCTATTCAGCAATTTGCGTCTCGCTTATCGCCCCTTATTGTCTGGGGTTAGGCTAGTGATGTCTAAACGACTTGCAAGAGAGACTGTGGTGGCTATTTCACAGATTAAACGTTTTTTTTTTTGTAAATAGCCTTCATTGACGTGCCACGTTGTAGGGGAAGTTTGAATTTTGCTCTCATTGTTTGTATTGCGATCATAAAAGCTTTCTCATGCTTGCTTCCAATGACCGTGGTATCACTCCAAAGGCTGTAAAACTTATTGAGTCATCTTTTTATTTGAATTCTTGCGTGTTCTACCCATAAAGTTGATGTTGCTAAGGTGAATAGTTAGTAAGGCACTAATGGGAGCCTTTTATCCGGTTGGTCAAGGCTGATGATTATGATATGGTGCAAGGCATGGTAACTTTGTCTTCTTGATTGCTACTTACTCCCTTATACAAGAAGTATCTGACTTTATCCGTGCTAGTTCAACTGGTTCTTAACGGGAACCTTCTGACCTTTTATTTTGGTGCAGTGTTTATAAAACAATCACTTTCTAAAAGAGTGGGAAATTTGCTCTAACCATAACACTGTCCCAAATTCTTTTCAATGTTTAGGAAGTGTTAACTGTTGTAGTGTAGTCAAGTGCTTTGAGATGCAGACCTGCATATTACGTCATGCCAACTGGAACGTCCATTTCCGCATATCACAGAGTATTTCTGCTAGAGTCGTAAATTCCTCTTGCCTACAGGAAGTTGTGCGTGATTGTAGTAAGCTTTTGACATTTTCGAGTTTTAAATGGCCCCACACTTGCAAGCATCCATCTTGTTATCGCCTCATCAGGCAAGAACTTACTGTCCTTTTTCAAGTGCTTGTCGGTTAGAAAGATCCACTGCATTATCAATCCAATTTAATGCTGCAAATGCCTCCTGCTTCAACACGGGGCAGATTGACGTCAGTTTACCTGGACTATCTTGGACTATTTTTGCTGTCGCTCTGGGTCTGTGTGCTCCAGGCCCGTTAGCTTTTCATGTAATCTTATCTTTGATATGAAAGCATAAAAAATGTATCACAAGCTCAGTAGCCTGACATCTAGTTACGCTTATAGGTGGACGAATGTACTGTACTGTTCATTACTTGATTTCACATTTGTACTGGGACATTCTTGACTTTTTCCCTTTTTATTCGCCTCAGACCAAATCAGATTGGCTTAAAAGTTGAGATTTTATTGTGTTGGAGAAAGGGGACATTTTTATGAGTGTGCTCATGTCCAAAGGAATGGTTTCGCAGGGTATCTTTTTAATTGTGCTTTATAGTCGTTTCCATGCGAGATGTAGATCACCTTTGTGCTTATAGCATGTTTCTCGAAATTGTTGGAATAAACTTTCGGCCCTCTACAATGCGTGGCACCAATTTCATGGGCCAAATAGCAAAAGACGGGTATCTTATTCCTCAACATTGGGGTACAAAAGGAGGACATTTCTGAAATCTCAAACTGGCGGCACTCCTCTGTCAGGCCTGTCACATGCTGATAACCTTGCCTTATTCTAAGATGAATTTTATAATGAGAACCAATGGTACTTTTGGCTCTTTTTTCAAGCTTTCCATTTCATCATTTCAAGTAGCATGCTTTTGCTTGCAGTTGTCGCAAATTGCCATGAGAGTCCCAATTCGCTTGTGAAATTTTTCATAAAGTTTTGCAGTTTTACTTCTCCCTTCAATCTAGTGTCCTGATTGCCGTCAATTCACTGTTTGCTTCATCCGAGCCCCTCATACATCCCCTTCTGGTAACTGCGTCTATGCCCTGACACTTGCGGCAACCTGTCCTAAGTATCTCCCTACTTTATCTGACCTAAACTCTAGAGGCGAAGATCCGTCACTAGCGTGGTCGACCTTGAAAGTGCACTAAGTCTTCAGCTTTTTGTTTGGGCTTTTTCTCCCCTTTTCATTCTCCTTATTTCGCATCGAGTAAGCGAAGGAGTTTGCATTTTGCTTGCAGATGGAAAGGCACGGGGAGAAGTAAGGTGACGAGTAGGTGGTTGGTAAATATTTTCTTCCAATGATTTAACCTGGAATAAACAATATGGATTGATGTTGCCAAGGTGTCGGTGAAGCATTTGGCAACACGTGTCGAAACTTCGGGAATGCTAATTTCCTTTTAGCTCCGCCTCAATGCCATTTATGAGCGCTTTGATTACTCTCCCGGTGTAACACTTAAGGTTATTCAATTTCTTCCAAGCTTTTTTGGTTGTTGTCTGGTTTCGCAAACTCGTTCCTCTACAATTGCGTGTCAATGCGTGGCTCACTTAGTTGCGCTAGTTCAGTGAACTTGAATTGTTACTTTCATTCACGCATTTTTTTACTCCTTTTTAAGGGGAGCAATTATGGAAGAACTGCTCCGGTCATTTTTGCTTCATCCTTATTCTCCTGCTCTAAAATGTGGCTCATTTTGATGAAATTTTGAACTTGGGTCCAGCTTCGACTCCTACGCGAAGTCATTTATTAAATTGAAATCTGTTTATTTAAAGGTTTCAGTCCTTTTCATTTTGCTGCCATCGTGGTGTCTGGGTTTGAAGTGCTTTTCCCCACTTTTATGTGAGCTTTATGAGAGAAACAATAAAACCAAGACGATTAGATATATCAACCCTCTTTTTCTTCGGCCACTAGACCACTGTTTTGGTCTGCTATGGATTGTTTTGCAAGTGTGCCAACTTAATGCTGTTTTTGTGGACAATTTTGTATGGGCTCCACATTCCACAGTCCTTGGTTAATCTGCATTCATGAAAGACCCTCTACTCCTGGGTGTGTCGCGCGACACTGTCTCCTCTTGAGCAATTGTGTACTCGTTAATTGGCATTAAGATTCACGTCAGTCTGTTGTTATTACAGCTAGGTTAATTATTCTCTCGCACAGCTAGCTGCATGCGCAAAAGGTATTCCTACTTGTTGGAACTTTACTCACGGCTAGCACTTCACCACGCTTGTGCATTTCTATCTCAGTTGCCATTTTACATGACTTCACATCCCATAGACCCTCTGCGACTGTTAACAGTAGTGTGCTGACGACCGCAAAACCCTGGGAGGTGGAATGCTGTCGATCTTGCGGCTGCAACCCCAATGTTTGGAAACCCGTGTGTCACGCTAAAACGAACACCATCTTCTTTTCACCTTGCTATGCTGGCTGTGCAAAGGGACCCACTTTTTTACCCGCCAACAATCAGGTAAGCCATGTGTCTCCCCTTCCTTTGTGCCTTGTTTCTCCTGTTAGCGTTCCTCTGTCAATAATTTACTGTTACCCAGTGCGAATTAACATCGAATTCATGAACCGTATGGTTTGTGAACGCTTATAGTATCTGTTAAACCGAAATAGTGCTTGTGCAAGTTGTCCACCCAATAAGTACTTACAATGAAGTTTATTTCACGTCCATACATTTCAGGGAAAGTCAAGCGCATCCTTCTCTTTCCATGAGAATTTTACCAAATGCTGTCTAACTATGTGTACTGTTCTTTACCATCATAATTGCTACATCGCAACAATCGTAAAGTTAATGGTCCCGTTTGTCTGGACATTCGGTACACATCGTTTCACATTCATTTCCTCTTTTTCATGTGTCAAGTTAGAATTGGCCAAACTATAGCTAATTTTTACTATCAGTCTGTTTGCTCTAGGATGGCACTTTTTTGACAATCTTTTATTAATGAAATATGCATCTCCGCGTCCACGACCGTGGACTCCTAGGCTCCCATAATTGGCGAATTACGAATGTCTGGTGTCTGTAATAGCGTTGATGTAAATGACGTTCATGTATGTCTTGCGCTTCACACAACCAACGTCGCTCTAAGCCACAATTCTTTCATAGGCGTGCTTTTGCAAAATACGTATCCAGATATATGAGACATGTTTGTATTTTGTCATCTGCTTCAAATTGTGGAGTCAACATTAAAACGTCTCCACCCATGGCGGTATCTTTACTGCTCTACTTCCTGTTCACGTTATCCACAGCAAAATTTTTGGGACTTTAAGGGAGAGAAATTGCAATTCCTGACTGAAGCAAGTTGGTCGTTCGGATGTGAACAAAAGTCTGCCCTCTTCAGGACAAGCGCTCTTTTCTGTCAACCCCTTCACTCGCATAAAGTATTAAACAGGAAGCTTAGTTTCCACTCCCACTAAATTTTTCTTATTTACAAAAGTCTTTAGGCTGTGAAAAAGCTGAGGTTAGTATTTTTAATTTGCGGCGGTTTTTTATCACTTGTTTGCTATTACTGTAATTGGTTGCTAGCACATGTTTGCGTTACATTGAAAAGTTGTGACTGTTTGATTGTGCCTTTGAAGTGTATTGTTTGGGCACAAAATTGTTGATTTGTTGTATCCTGCGAAAAAGAGGTCCTAATCTAGCGTAAATATTGAAGTACGTGGCTAATGTGGTAAATTTCTCAAATGTCCATCAAGTGCGTATTTGTTGTAGATGAATTTATGGCGTTTCCTGTTCATTTTGCATTTAGCGTTTGAGTTTGTTTCCCTTTTGTACAAATTATGGAATGGCTTTATCTCTCATTCTAAACACTGACGTCACTTTCTTTTCCCCCTCTCCCTTTCATGTTTGCTAGCATCAGGATGCCGTGAGTGTCCTCATCCAACTCTTAAATTTACTCATTTGTGAAGTAACAAAATGAAGCTCGTATTTTATTCTCCCACTGCTTCTTCTCGATTTGATCAATTTTATTATTTAAGCCATAACTCACTCTTCCTGATTGAGCAAACAATAGTGAATTGGAAGTCATACAGGCGCCAAGCTTCATAAACCGTAGACTCGGCTTAATGTGCGTCATCAAGAAGGAAAACTTACCTACTCTCGACTCAAAACCGTTTCGATCCTCCAACCCCAATTAACTCCACCTGATAAGGAGCAGTTGGCACATATATGTGACCCTGATATCGAACGTTTTGGTTGTCTTTCATGAGGTGAAATGCCAAGTCGTTTATCGTTTGCATCAAATCAGAATTGGCGCATTATTGGGGCGTTGAATACTTTTCTCCTTGCAGCTGTATCCGTTTTCACTGAGAATGTAGAGCTTTTGATGCTGGATGTGCTTCCTTACCCGCTTTAACATATAGTGTTAAGCGCTCTCGCAGGCAAAACACTATTCATGCGTAATCCATATCTGAATTTGAAAAATATTCATTTGTTTCGACCACATAGACCGCTTGATGAAGGGTGTTTCTTTCATAAGAATAATTTTGTTACAACATTGTAATAAACACCAATGTAGCCGTCACCAATGAGCAAAATATAGCTTTTGTATGCATCCCTACTCAAAGTGTTTTTCGTGTAGCAAGCAGAATTGACCTCGAAACCTGTTGTTCTGACCCCTTTTGTTCCGGTGTTCACATCATCAGTCAATGAGAGCATACATAGAACTTTGTAAATATTTGTAATGTTGCATTGCATTTAGCTGTTGAATGCATCACATGAAATGCTTTTTTTTGTGTTTCTAATAAGCTTGGGTTGATTGCTTCATCTTAAGTACTTAGAGCATTGAATCCTGCAAATGCTTCTTTGGACGTCTTATTTGTTTGCGATGGTTTATTATGGACACGCCCTCTGTTTACTTGGAAAATATTGGGCACTTTACTTTTCAGTACATCTACTACCACTGCCACTGTCTACGCAGTTTTGCTGATGCTCTCAACAACCAATCTATGTCCCTAAGGGATAGCAGCGTGGCGTTGGTGGCAGAGGCAGGAGTAGGTGAGGTGTCATCGCAAATTTTCGATGACGAAGTATTCGAAGGTGTGTGTGCGCCAGGCTGTAAAATGCTGATGCCCTTCGTGTGCTTCCTCACAGTCCTTCTCTTCCTTACCGGGGTAATCCAAAACCCCTTGCTAATGGTAACGATGCGTTCAGTGCGACACAGCCAGCGATCTCTTGCCCTTGGGCTCCAGTTTGTCATAATTCGTCTCCTCGCCAACCTACCCTCGCCTATCGCCTTTGGCAGGGCCATCGACGGGGCTTGCCTTCTATGGAAGGACGAGTGTGGTCGTAGGGGTGATTGCGCCTTCATGGACCTCAAACAACTCACTCAATACATCACCGGTACGTACTGTCAGTCACCTAATTGCTTGGTCTTGCCATGAGGCATCAAGTCATGACTCACTGAAGACTCCTCATTTTGACTTACCAAAGTTGATGCTGCTAGCTTGTGTTTTTTATATTTCCTATCTTTATAGGTGGGCTTGAGTATTGTTAATCATGATTCGATTTTATACCACTACAATCTGCAGCTTACTCAATTCACTGATCATGGAGGTCAAGGCGAATTCACTCTGGTCTTTGTTCTACGGCTTCAGAATGAATTGACATAATCGCAATCCATCTATGGGCTCAGTTGATACACTTTTCCATTCGATCGTTTTTTTTATTAACTTTGGATGGCTAAAGGAGTACGATCGCCAATGTTTCTGGTACCAAGTGCGTACGAGGTGTGCAATTACCTTTGTTGAGTGTTTACTTTGCGATGTGAGATTTTGCCTCCCTTCACTCAAAGTTAGTTCTGCATGGAAACAGATGCTAGTAAATGTAAACTTTGTCGGTGGACTGGCAAAACCTCATTGTTTATACTAATGCTAGTTTGCGTTGGTATCAGAATTATTTCAGTTCCCATTGTTAATCTTGGCAATCTTGAAGATTGGAAGTACGCAAAATTCGTGCACCTATAGTGTGTTTCCCTTCTTCAAAGGTTCCGTAGTCGCACCGCTTGGTTGCCGAGGTTTTCGATTCTTCCCATGATAGTATTACTTTCTATGCCCAACATTGAAAGTCCATTAAGTCTTACCTTGATCAAGATCTATGAGGTCAAATAGGCTGGCGCTGGTTTATCCAAACGTAGAGCTGACAGCACGTATTACCTTGTCCCCATGCCTTCGCGTGCCTATACGCGTAGACACACATTACCGCCTTGGTACATGCATATTTGAGCTACTGCCACTTTACGCTGGCGTTACACCACTGTCTCAGTCTTATTACATGATGACCATTGCCTTGAAATCATATAGATTGAAGTGAACAGTAATTCGCACTAGATTTGTGATCTTTTTCGCCTTTTGGCCTGAAAACGAGACTTGTCTCGGCTTTTATTTTAACGGATGTTACCGATTAGCCTCTTACTCCCCAGGTTAAAATGATACGAAACAATTTTTTGAGCTTGTTAATCAATGTGGTGAACAGTGCAATGAGAGTGATGCTTATAGGCGGTAACCATGCTCTCTTACCTATATTTCACACTATCTATCAGGCTCACTATTTTGTTACGGGTTTTAGAATCAGATCAGGTAATTGCCGAAAATTTCGTGCTTTGTAGAACGGAAAATTGAATGTTAGTGGTGATTGCCGCGGATGATTGGTAGTACGGAAATTGTTGGGTTGTAGGCCTCGGAGTGACAGTGAAGGGCTCGAGTCTGTTGGTCTACATAGTCCTGATCTATCTGCTCTCGCGACAATATTCCAGTGATGATGAGGAGGTGGAGGCAACCAAACTTCGCGGTGATGACGATGCCCTCCAGCAGCCCTTGACACCCGACACACAGCAGACTGCCACGGAGGTCACTAGGACCTGAGATGAGCTCGCCAAACGTCCAGGCAACTAGCTCACTAATCAACCAAATGAATAACGGTGATGATTTTATTGTCACTGCCTCACTCGAGGTCTTTCCTGCATATTTTCACCTGTCTACCTGCTACACGTGCATTTTACTTCGACAACACCCTATCAGTCCTACTGTCTTTAAACCCATTAGTTGTATTACTATTAGTATGGGTGCTACACTCTTCTTACCCTTATTTTGTCTAGGCTTTATCCTTTTCCTTCTCCTCCTCCTCCTCCTCCTCCTCCTCCTCCTCCTCTTATCCGAAGTGCACTTATTGGATTGTGCTGCCGTTTGAGCCTCTGTTGCCGTCATACGTATCGCCACCATAACCACCTTTTATCACTAGTGCCGTTGCTCCACGCCTGCTGAAATTGACGCCTGAGAATTTTTATTTGTCACTGATTACTTTTTTATAGGAACACTTCATTTGGTGCCCCTGTGTGTGAGGCCATTTGATTATGTTGTTTGGATTGGACATGAAAACCCAGTATAGTGGAAAATCATAAATAGATTTCCGTATTTTGAGTTTTTTTGGCTTCAAATATAAGAGCGAACTATTCTTGCATCTTATTTGGCGTTCACGTCCAAATTGCTAAGACGGCTCGGTGTCTGATTTGATTACAGTGCCTTGTTTTCAACCGGCGGGAAAGGAACTAATGGTTTGAGCTCACTTAATTCTGCTTCATATTGCATCGGAAGCAAGCAAAAAGATTACTAAGTGTCCCGGGTTGTAAATCCGTGACTGGTATTGATGTTCATTAAGCTGTTAAGTCGTGTGGGATAGGGGCTTTTGGATATCATTTATGCGGCTTGATATTGTTAGTTGAACAAAACAAGTGATTTGATAACCGAAGAAGACTGTAGTTGGTCGGCAAACGGGGTGTGCTTGATGCGTATTTATAGTCATTAGACCCGTTCTGGGTGTCGTCAATGCCAATAACGACTCAGAAGAAGTCGGAAGAATGCGCAAGCGATCGATCGGAGACAAGTTGTGTAGCAGGGCTCCTAGTCCTCAGTACGGATGAACATTAAGACTAGATTTCCCTCTACAGTTACACAAAGGATAGAGGTATCAACTACTCATCTCGCCATGCATAATAGTGAACACAATTCTCACGTAGTTATTTCAAGTTGATCATTTCATTAGGAACCCGACATTCAAAATCAACCTGGAGATAAAGCTCCGAAGCTTATCAGTCGTTTAAGCTGTACTTTTTGAGAAAGATGTGCGGATTCAATTCAAATGGTGCGTAAGTCAAGTGGGAGGATCCTTCCTTGGGTTAGCACGTATAGCTAAGCCGAACCGCAACTCCTGCAGACTGGGCCTACATAGGAATGCCTAATAAATCGTCATCAAACCATTTTCCTTTAGGAAGACTGAGATTAAAATTAAGAATGCAGATAGGAAGGTGTCACAAAAGCTTAAAACATTTTGAATTGAGGCTGTGCATACATTACGGAAAATAGACAACAGTCGCGGCTATAATTCCCCAGCTCCCTTTCCGCCTTTTTGAGAACTTGTGAACAAAAATGGCAAATAGAAGTTAGATCTGGTAGCAAGTAGCGTTTTTTAAAATAATCAGTGCTTCTGAGTTAACAAAAGTTGGAATGTGATTATTCCTACTTATGTAAAAAGGTAGGTTATTCAATTGAATGATTACGATACCAAATCACACACTCCTGAAAAATTGTTGTAGCATGCTCGAACAATAAATATACCTTCTAAAATCTAAATTTTTTTTCTGACCTTTTATTTCATCCAAACGCTTCGAATGCGTGACAACTTTAGGCGGCATAGTCAGTTTCGCGCCATTCGCCTATAGGAGTTGCGGGCTTCTCCCGAGCATGGTTTCTCACGGGAATGTTTGTTGTGATCGCACAGCCCGTTGGGAAGCCATAGAATGCATCCTAGGTCGCAGCGGACCCCTTCAACGCAGTGAATTTGAGCCTTCATCGGAGGTTTGATCGGCACATTAATAATTTCAAGTTGGTTAATATGATTGCACAGCACGTTCGAGTTCTGGTTGTGGGTGCCGGCGGGCTTGGCTGTGAGATATTAAAGTCACTCGTATGCCATTTTTTCCTGATGGAATGTCTCTTAGGCTCTGATGGGATTTTGCCACATAGATGTAGTTGATATGGATACAATAGATGTTTCTAACTTAAACAGGCAGTTTCTTTTTACGGAGAAAGACGTTGGCCGTTCAAAGGCTGAAGTTGCTGCTGATTTCATTATGCGCCGTATCGACACTTGCAAAGTTACTCCCCACTTCAAAAAAATCCAGGATTTTGGTTCAAACTTTTATAAACAGTTCGACATCGTAATTTGCGGTCTCGATTCCGTTATAGCTCGTCGCTGGATTAACAGTATGCTTGTAAGAATCCTCCAGTGTCTTCTTTGGTAGTTATTGCAAGAAGGATTCACTGGCTGTTTTATTTAGGCAAGTTTACTAGAGTACAAAGAAGATGGAACACCAGACTTTCAAACCATGATACCACTAGTTGATGGTGGGACAGAGGGTTTCAAGGGACACGTCATTGTCGTCCTTTTCGGTTTCACTGGATGCATTGAATGTAGTCTTGATCTATATCCACCCCAAGTTAATTATCCCCTTTGCACAATTGCACACACACCAAGATTACCGGAACATTGCGTAGAATTTGTGCGACTGCTTCTGTGGCCCAAAGAGCAACCCTTCGGACGTGAGCAGTATTTTTTTTCAATAAAGGGTGTTGCTATGGTACTTAACTATTTATCTGTGCACAGCCGGTGTAGATATTGATGGAGATTCTCCCGACCATCTTGAGTGGATTTTCAGTCATTCTTCTGAAAGAGCAAAGGAATATGGCATACAAGGGGTGGACATGCGATTAGTAAAAGGTGTTGTAAAGAGGATTGTTCCTTCAGTCGCTTCTACAAACGCTGTCATTGCATCAGCGCTGGTAACTGAAGTGAGTATTTTATTTCATCTTGCACCTCCCATTTCGAAATAGTAGCTTGAAAATGATGTGGTATTTGTTTCAGGCATTCAAATTAGTGACCCTTTGCTATGATTACTTGAACAGCTGCATGAACTTTTCAGACGTTGAGGGAATATACACATACACCTTCCAAATCGAGCGCAAGGTGAGTCGCCAGTATTGAGTACTGGTCATGTTACAATGCTCCCTACCAACGTGCGTGTTTCGTTAATGCAATTATCAGGATGGTTGCCTTGTGTGCAATAATGCTCCGAAAAAGCTTGAATTCCCCTCCAAAGCCACTTTGCGGGAACTCGTAGAGCACTTAAAGAACGATCCAACACTGTAAGTTAGTTATGCTAAACACTAATATTTCATCAAAATCAGAAATTCTTCAACTTACTATTGTTTCACTAGGCAAATGCACTCCCCTACCATTACAACAGTACTGAATGGATCTAATCGTACTCTCTTTGTTGATTTTGACGATGCGATGCAAGGTCTTCGGGCCAATTTATCAAAGTCTCTTGGTGGTGAGTTCAAACTCCTTTTCCTTCCATTTATTTCTTTACTTGGGAAAGTCAATTTGGTATAGTCTTAACCGTGGGCAGTGCGTTTTTTGGTTTCGTTGTTTTCTATCTATATTGGAGCTCCAAAATAGCTCAACTTTTGCCTTTCAGAGCTGTCATTGTCTGATGGTCAAATGTTGACAGTCAGCGATGTAACAACGTCGAAACCCCTTTCTTTTCGTCTTTGTTTCACTGACAAAGACTGATTTCGGTTGCCTTATTATTTGATATCATCAGCTAGGGTACTCCCATGCTTGTTTGTCTTGACTTTTTATAATACAATTGTTCTTTCGGTGGATATGGCTTTTCATTTGCTTGGATAATGGTGATACCTAGAAGCTTATGTTGTGGCTTACAGCCTTTGTTGCTATGCTTTATGGAATTGAAATGCATTTTCCTTTTATTCTGGGCTTGTTCACCGGGTCATGGTCTGTTACTGCTCCACAGTCAATACTGGTGATTTTTAATTCACTTAACCGACTGGTTCTCCCTACCTTCGGGCGTTGCTTCGCTTCGCAACATCGAGCGAATTTCAAACACCAGCTGAAGTACGTTAACCTCACTGATGAGCCCTTTGCCGTAGCTCTGTCGCCTGAGGCAGCGGAGCATGCGCCAGCTTCCTTGCCCCCGCCCCTTGATCCCGCGCCTCGCGGCAGTATCCCCTGGTTCACCCTCGACCCCACCACTACCCTTCTCATCGACGCTCGCAGTCCCTGTGAGTACGATGCCGATCACATTGAAGGAGCTATCAACGTCCCAATCCTCTCCAATCAAGAGAGGATGGATGTGGGGAAGATTTTTTTCGCAGGTATTCCAGATCTGCTTGTATCGTTAAACGTAGATTCCGTACTTATTCGAATGTATTTCCGATCTAGAGACAGCACAAGCAACTAAGGCGTGGGAGTCTAATATATCGATAGCACGGTTGGGAGAGTACTCGCCTCTTTTGCGCTGCTATGTGATGTGAATCTGTGTAGGTCATCGAGATATGGATGCTCAAGTTATTCTTGGTGTAGTATCATTGTCGACGGTAAATTACGGGTAAACTCCGCTTTATCTTAGTAACTGAAGCTGCAATTCTCATATCCAATCATAAATTTTCTACCATGGTATTTTAGACGAAAAGTAGTGTAAACTAGTGTGAAAAAAAGTAAAAATTGGAAGCCAATGGTTTAATTACCAAATCGAAAGTTCGATCATTGGTGGTTGGGCCTGAATTTCATCATTTTAATCTTCCATGGCATATGCTTTCCAATACAAAAGCCATCTGAACGGTAAGCGGTGATAATAATCTTGCATCATTTTCAAAGAATTGTCTAATAGTTTGAGCTATGAATTCTCCTTGCGAATGAATGGACGACTTCGTATGCACTGTGGGTGGCGGTTTATACGTGGGGCCTCTGAATGAACATTATTGAAAGTCGTATGATCGATTAGTTCTCCATTCAGTCTGCTTAGCAGTTACAGCATATATTCAATGGCATTGAATGTTTTAGCAGTTCTCGAATGGTATACGTTTCTGCTGCATCAGCATCCCCACTTTGCTCTTTTAAATAGGCTCTTTCGAATACTTTCCGCTCAGGAAAGCCTTTTCGTATTTAAAGCGTCAAAAAAACTTGTTCTCAGTAAGACATTATGGTGCGACGTTTTAGTAAATTACCGCTTTACATATTCGAATCAAAACGTAGGTCTTGTGCATCGCGGCGAATTGCTCGAGTCAAACATCTCACACAGATGCTTATCTCAGCCCTTTTTAAGTGTTCGTGATTTGTTGCATTCCCTCGCGAAGGCGCAAATCACTTGCGTGTATCTATGGTTCCTATCCAAGAGCATTCATGGTCCATATCATTCATTCTGATGGATAAATTAAGCAACAGTTTAAATAGATGGGTTGAGGCTTCCACCGCTTCATTTCAGCGGTTTGCTTTTCCTTCCTCATCCTTCTAGGTGATGCTCTGGAGGCCCGCCTCCTTGGTGCTCGTTTTGCTTGCACTAATATTGCCCAGTCTTTGAGGCCGGAGGGTCCTCTTGGACGCCTCTTTGAGATATCGAACCGAAAAAGCTTCTCACCTCAACTAATATTGGTGTATTGCTCCCGCGGTGGCCAGCGATCCATGGGACTAGGAACCGTCCTCTCGGAACTGAATTACCCCGGTTGTGAAGTTGCCTGCCTTGCAGGTGGTTACCGGGCCTGGCGACGCCTTCTCCTCCGCCAATTGGGTATCTGGCCCACTCTTGTTGGTCCTGGTGGGCTTGCTGGAACCTTATGGGTTCTCTCCAGTCTCACAGGTATGCCAACAAGGTTCGTCTTCGCTCTCATACCCTGTTAAAATGGATCTACTGATCCCTAGTTAGGCAAACTTCTGTCGGATTTTAGGTGAGGTTTATGACGTAATGTGTGTTCTCAATTCCATCAAATGGCATTCGAAGTCTCACTTGGACATCTGAACCCGAAGTTTGGGTTTGGTCCATGAATTAGATATTCATTTCACGACTCCGTCGTGCACTTTGTTACATCATTTGTGATTACTACTTAGTGATTGTCATTGGCATGGTAGAATAGTACTTGCGTTTCCCTCACGGCTGGCTAGTGTGCACTAGTCACATAACAAAGTTTATCGCGCTGCGAAGTTGGCTTCAAAATGTGTATTTCACTTCCCAAAAGAAGGCACTTACTAAAGAAATGCTTGCAGTTGTGCCGCATACGAGGAAGTTGACACACCAGAAGCTTTATTTAGTGCCTCATGTTTAGTTATACGCCATGGAGTAAGCCCAATCAAAATGCTTTAGATCACCCAGAAGATTTTAAGGTATTTTATCTCAGCCACAGTTGTGGTCAACATTTTAACAAGAATTAATGCTGTTGGCGATGCGATTCGATCGTAGCTCGACGTGTTCCTTTGCTGTCACGAAACATGGACACGACTCTTTCATCAATGCAATAGTCTCCAATAGGTGTTAATCACAACTTTTCAGTTCTAGTAAAGGCTGTTCACTGCAGGGTCAAAGCTGGACTTGCCTTCAAAGCTTATGAAACTCACCACAATAGTTGTTATTATTTGCGTCTGCAGGAGGTATGCAGTGGGCTAACTCACCACTCAAAGACAGGTCAGTCATGTTGCGGAAGATTTATTATCAACCGTGAAAAGTTGAGACCTTTTTGACTCGAATTCATGACTAATATGTTAAGCACATTTTGTAATTGGGTTCATTTTACACCTTCACCGCCAAGTAATGGCAAACCTTGGCCAGATTTGCAGATTTCTCTTAGTTTTAGACCCAATTTTCGCTTCATTTTGACAATTTTTTCACTTGTTTGTCTATCCTGTCATCGGTTGGACAAAAATATCATTGACTGTCCTTTGAAGGAGATCAGTCTCTCACATTCTGAATTACAAGCATGCATGTGTTTCCGTAATTGATTATCACCTTTTCTCGGATTGCGCATTGCTAGAGGAAAATTGGGAATTGCTCAGTTATCTAGCCTTTATTATACAATCCTGCTCACTTTTCCAGTCTCAACATACCAGTTTAATTGGAGCCATAATGTGTGTATTAAAGGCTGGGAGCATATTCTTGTGGCATGTGAAGTGTTGTTTACCTCTTTTTGAATTTTTATATTGGGCGAAAGTGTGCGAACATTTGGAGAGCCTCGAGACTTCTCTGGAGGTGAAGGAGTTTAACGTTGTGGCAGAAGAGGTTGCGGCTACTGGCGTGGCCAGGAGGCCTACTCGTTCAGCATAGCCGCAATGGCGGAGTTAAAAAATGGTTCTCTTGTCAAGATCGAGAGTTAATCTAAATATTAGCACGTTACACTTTTCAGTATCCATTAAACTGTGGATTCTCATAGTGGGGTCTAGATTTACGAGCAGCATTCATTTTGTGCTCTCTTTGATGTGCTGGTTGTCACATTCGTCCCATTTTGAATAATTATCACTAAACGACTTAAACGAAGCACTTCTTTAACTGATATAAACTTTAGGTAATTTTTTGGCGTCACTGATTAGAGAGTCTTTGTTGGCTTTTCCATTCATATAAGCGTTGGTTACTTAAAGTGAATTGGCATTTACTTCCACCCCGCAGTCACAACTTTCAGCTGAACTGCGGGTAGGCAATGACTAAAATCACCTATCTCAGCTGTCAATTTTAGGTGTGTGTACAAAAAGGGAAGGCTCGTGAGTTGGGCTCAGTCCATCGCAGTGAAAAGCCGTCACGGTAATTTAGAATTTATTGAAAACACGGGTTAGCAGGTCTGGTTCTTTTCTCAAGCCCAACATATTTGCAACTGGCACATTCAAAATTATTAGGTTGTGGAAAGACGCTCCTGTTGGAGGAGCTGGAGGCTGCGGGCGAAAGCACTCTAAATCTAGAGCGGATGGCGGAGCACAAGGGATCGATGTTCGGCGGTGCGGCGATGCAACCAACCCAGCGAATCTTCGACGCGCGTCTGCATAGTGGCTTGAGGCGCTGTCTGACGGCACCCCACGTCTGGACTGAGTGTGAATCGCGCAGTGTCGGGCCCAGATGTCAATTGGGAGATGGTTTCTGGCAACGTTTGAGAGGAACTCGATCCACTGCACGCGTTTGGTTAAGCGCGCCTCTCGAGGCGCGTGTCAATTGGATTCTACAAGACTACGCAGATTGGTTGCATAACTCGGAGGAAAATCTGAAACGGGTCTTTGAATCGTCAGTTCTCTGCCTTCTTTTCTATTCCTTTCTATTGCTTGGATGTCACAGCATTTTGCCGCCATTTCGATCTGTTTATAGATGAAGCTATGTTAATTCAAATCAAGCCCAGTTTTTGGGGACATCCAATGGAGGTGTACCTGATATAGTCCCTAGTTTGTTATACCCTGAGCGTCTCTGCTAGATCCACAGGTATCCGTATCACATAATTTTTGAGAAGGGTACGCTGTGCACTGCGACTAGATGTCGAGAGCATCTCCAACTTTTGGCCTCATTCTAGGTTGGCGAACTACCACAGCAAAAACCGCCTCGAATCCTGGCGCAAGTTAGCACGGAATGGGGACTACGCTGCCTTCGTTGCAGAACTTTTAGAGCACCACTATGATCCGCTTTACAAAAAATCCCGAGGTCCCATGCTTCGTCACTTCACCGACATGGGTCTGCTGCACCGCGTTGAAGTACCCGTTGTTAGTCGTGCCTACTTTCAAAAGCAGGTCGTCCCACACCTCTTACACCTCTCCGCACATAGATGTATGACCGATTTTACTCATCAAGACGATGCCTCCTCCCTTTAATCACTTGTACCAAAGTTGTACCGCTGCTTCAATAAAGGTTTTGTAAGAAGTATGCTTGTCTTAACTTTAAATAAAGCCCAATGTTTTATTTTGCCTTCCTTTTTTAGACACTCAAGGCCACGCTTTTTCCTTCGAGAAGAATCTTTGGGCTACTTTTCGTTCTGCCCATTAATGAATTTCCATTTTTTCGGTAAGCTGAACCTTTATGGAGGCTCAATTTCTGTCATGTGATATGGGTCAGATTAGGGTGCTTTTCTAACCTTTTAAACGGTTTCATCCCGTAAAATGCTTGTTTATGCGTTAAGGTGTAACAGAGCCTTTCGAACCTCGTGTGGTCTTCAGAGGCACCCGGGTATAACCTACCCCCATAAATTGAGCTGGCAGTGGTTGATTGAGAAGTTTGTCAATCCCAATCAGTACACCGTTGACCCAATTCGAAAAATTCGCACTGGAGGACGCGGTCCCGATGGTAAGTCAAATTTCGCTAGCTTTTTAGGTGCTAATTCACCGCTTAATTCCGTAGGCCTAAATACTCATCCAACTTGGATTAATCAACGCGGAAGTGGGTAGCCTCAGATGCTTTACCTTCATTTAGTCAATCTTTACAACCATATCCTTCGAACTCCATAGCCTTTTACTTGTTTGGGACTTTTTACTCCCAGATAAAATTTGTTTCTTATCCTGATTCTTCCTCGAACAGGTCGCATTCAATACAAACACGTCACTACGGGGCTCAACATGCCATACTTTCTCGTTGACTACGTGCGTTCACGGCAGATGGAAGCCAAGGAGGTCCAAGAAGAGGTCATTCTCAAGGTAGCTATTACACTCGGTTGTTGCCAGTTTGTTGTCATATGGTCTGTTTCAAGTCAAATTTCGGAAGCAGTCTGATGGAAATCAACTCTTTGATTTTTGAACTTTTCCTCTCAAATATGAGCTAATTCGGATAGATACTTCACATTGCTGTTGCAAACTCTAAATACCAGGTGCATCAGAACTCTCGATATTTATTTACTCAAGACCTTTGCCCCTTTAATTATAGCATTCATTGCATTGACTGATAATTGATGATCCTTACAGATTGCCAAAAACTGGTGGCGCGACCCATATCTTGCACTGACGGCCTCTGGCGAGGTAAAGAGATGGATCATCGCCACGTCGAATATGAAAGAGGGAGATGTCATCCGTTCTCACTGGGAGATTCCTAGCATTCCAGGTGAGTTCACCAGATGATCCTCTCCTCCATTTGTGTGGCTCATGCAGCATTTCCAAAGCTCCATCATGTCCTCGAGAACCTCATAATTGAAATCTCACCCACAGGTTAGACTGTATAGCAGTCTCAACCTTGTACGCAGTCTACCACATTCAACCAATGGAATCAAGGTAAACTTCTTGGCTTTATTCACAAATAATAGCTCGCTTCATTTATTCAACATAATTGCTATGCTAAGCAACACCATACGAGAATAAGTACTTTAATTACAGTGGTGCCTGTTCTGGGTGATGCGTACCCAGTGGGAGCTTTGCCTGTGGGAACGCAAGTCTGTCTCATCGAGATGCATCCGGGTGAGGGGGCGATGATTTGTCGAGCAGCGGGCACCAGTGCAACCGTTGTGCGACGTGGCACCGCAGTGCACGATCTGTCCGGCCTGCGCACTCAGATGGATGATATGCTTTCTGCCGAGCCCATCGACGAACGATTCACTAGCACCTTGCAACTCGACTCCTCACGCCGCGAAGTTCGCCTTCTGCCTACGTGTGTGGTGGTCGTCGGTCAGGTCTCCAACGAGACGCATAACAAACAACGTTATCGCAAGTTTGGTGAAAAGTACTGGCATGGGATAAAGCAGCGCAGTGGCCTCTATCAGAAAAAGACTGGTCGATTTGGAAGGAAGATTTATCCGGTAGATCCGTTACTTGACTGCACCCGCGAGGAAGTCCCCGACGGTGAAATTCGAGCCAAATTCACACTACCGGAGCGGCCAGAGTTGGAGCGGAGGCGAGTCAGAGAAATATTTGCGGACTCGCTGCTTGTCAGGAGGCCTAAAATAAGGCCAGTACCGGGACCCAACAATGCTCTTCCACACACCCTTCCTCTATTTACGTGGCGTCACTACTAGTTTACATCTGTATTGAGAAGTCTTAATGGCATTTTTACCACTTACACTCGAGTGACAACTGTGAAGGAACAGCTGGATGGAATAATTTACTGAAAATAAATGCTGTACAAATTTCTTTATAGGTACCAGTATCATGCTGTACCTTCCTCAAACCAGGAGTGAACAAGATCGACAGCAATGTCCTTAGATGCCTGCCTATGTTTCTTATACAACTTCGGGATATCAAAACGCAGTTCTGCGATGACATCACAGTTAGCACCGAAGTCTTTGACGGTTTTCACAATGTGCTAAAAATGGCATGAAATCGCTGCTACGAAGCATACCTCCCTAGTCGTTGTCTTGTGTAGAGAGTAGACGTGCTCTCTAGTCATACTTAGAGCAACTTTGAGGAACTTAACATCAATGCCTAAGGAAGGGAAGCTTTACAATGAACACAAACCTTTCGACTGGTCTGATGTCCCAAATGGTGGATTAGTGATAATGGTGTCAAATGGTTTGATCTTTGGTGGAGACAACATAGTTACATCGCAAAGGACTAGACTCATGGTGTTACCCGATTCAGGGAGGAAATTATCCTCCAAATTTCCTTGGAAATCGGTAATGGCGTCTTCGTCAATGTCAAAACCGATCACGAAGCTCAGAAAATGGCATGTGGAAGGGAGAAACTAACCTAGCCCCTAGCAAATGGGCTCCCATGGCCAAAATGCCAGGGCCGCATCCAAGATCCCCTACGACCTTACCTTCGAGTGCATCGTAGCGGGTTTGGATATCGAACAAAATGTCACCTATGCATGGCATTAAGACAATTAAAATATTACTGGCTACGTGGGCAGAGGTTGGATACTGTTCCAAACATTGCTTTGGATTGGAGAATGACCCCAGCTCTTGGAGCTTCATATGAAGTTTCTTTTTGCTCGAACAGGAGTGCGACATCTCATACCTAGTTGGACAGCCTAAAAGTACAGAATAGCAGTGAGGAAGATAATGCACAAGGCCAAGCTCCAGAGACAAAGCTAATCAGAATAACAAAGCTCCAAAGGCAACTCCACACTAAGATCACAGTCAAGTTCACGTGTTTTTGAATATTTCAAACAGTCACTTAGCGTGACCACAACGATGTCATTGCTTCTTTATGCTACGGGCCTCTTATCAGAAAAGCAATAGCCCACAAATGATTCCATAAGAGTTAACGGATCAGACACACGCATTACTAGCAGAACGGTTTGTTAATTCGTGAAAAATTCACAGCTCGCACCTTCAACAAACCTACTAAGAAACAAAACACAGCTAACCAGAGGCGAACCGCGTCACTGAAGGCCCATAAGGGCTATCATAAATATAAACAATTTATAAGGTCTTGAAATTGTTTGGCAGAGCTATTATGCAGGTGTACTTATTAAATATGATTTTGCTATTTTAATTTATGATTCTGCTAAAAGCTTTTAGAATGGTACAACTCTGTGACGAAGTGTTCCACAACGTTGCGTTGGTGCAATGTGTGATTTTGATGTCAAAAGACGCAATTTCAAGCACTTGTTTAAGAGTAAGTAAATCAGTGATGTAGTCATTCAAGATTTCTTACTAAGCAGAAGAAGCATTTGGGTTTAACTGGATCGATATATTCTTGGCGGATAAGGCGGTGTTAGTCCAAAAGCCATCCCACGCGTACAAGGTCAAGATGACTGCTAAAGCAAACGTGAGACATCGTGCATTCACATATATAAAAAACTACAATGGGCTATAAAATGACTTCAAAAAACACAATTAGTTTAATACTTTCGAATTTTTCATTTAATGATAACGAAGAGGATTTGTGTGAAGCAATTAGTTGTTAAAACAGGACATGCATATGGGTCTGGAAGCCAAAACAGATAATTTTCCTAGCTTCATGAGGGAGAGGTAGCAGTGAAGCATCCACACCCTCTATTGCACCATGTATGCATTTCGCTCTTGTATCAAACAACCATGAGGTGTCTTTGTTGCCATCAAGCACTGCACCACGTGACAAGCCTCCCAGCGTCGGCTTTGAACCTAAGGTCAACATTTATAAAAAAACACATTGACAAACACATTAGATTCGATTAAGATATTAGAAATTCTTTGCCCATTTGACTACCTGTGTGTATATCAGTCCCTTTTGCTACCAAGACATGGCTTCTCATCAACACTCGCTCTGAATACGCGTGTTCAGCCGTGCCCACTGCAATCTACTACCATACCGAAAGTCTCAAGATGTAACGCTGTTGGCAGCTGAAGGAGAATTCAATGATGCTGTGACCTAGGTACTGGTTTCAAATATTTGCAACAAACTTCTTTGATGTAAATGAAGATCACACATTTCGTGAGGGATATTCAGGCGTTTGTGTTTTGCATCCTCCCAGTCTTGTGTTCCACGGGCAAACTAGTAACAACTGAAATCAACCTGAAGAAATGTCGTTTTGGAGTTCCCCTTACGACATGCGCGTATAGATGTCATCGATATTATTGTGTCACTCCCCTTCACGTAAGGCAACTGACCATAGCCTCAATTCTACTTTTTCTGTCTGAATACAGACATTTGATTATTTGGCCTTCTACTGCCGAATGGAAAGTGCCGTGACTTTACTATGTCTACTTACACCTTTTCTTGCCTTAATGCTAGTAAATGAAATCAATCCATTAGGTAAGGCTGTCTGCCTCATTCTTGGAACACTGTTATCTCAGCTAGTTTCATCTTCCATGCTGTTTGTAGAAGCCATAGTACTTGACTGGATACACCTTTTCCTCTCTCGGAATATAAGGGTCTTTTAGCATAGGTCGAAGGCCATTCCACGTGGCAAAGGTGATATAGCTGCCAACGTAATCTCTAGGATTGACAATCAAAGATGTAACACACTAACTGTTTGAAAGAAGCTTTGCGGAATGCAGATGTAAATTCAATTTCAACGCTGTGCAATTAGAGTGCGAGGATCCGCCTTAGTCCTAGTTCTCATATTCTTGATGCACCTCTACCCTTGTTGTGTGTACCTAGATAGTAGTGCCAAATAAATGATCGTCGGACTATTATTCTGACGTGGATTGGAAGGTTGTAGAGATGCTACTGCCGTGCGATGAAGGTCTTGAAACTGATACATGTGGGGTGTATGCTGCAGAAATAAAAAAAACATCCGAGGTCAGCAAGGGTCACCGGTACTTCTCATTTGTGTCCGTTTTTCGTGTAGCTTCAACAGGACTGTCTGCGTCAGCGGACTCGGCAAGATGAGACGTTTAGAGATCGGTGCAGTGTCTTTGTATGCATATATCATCCTGATTTGAGAGTTTCTTCCAATTTTGTCATGTCGTTTGGGTATCTTGCTCACTCTGCTTGTCTCCTCAACTGTAGACTTGGCCGAGGATGTCCTCAGTCTCTCATAAACCAGATGCATCGGGATCGAATCTCCGGATGTTTCTTTAGCAACGGCTGGTAGGTTCGTAGGACAACTTGTCTACCGTAACACTATATGCAGGCAGAGATGAAGATCTTCGTGGAAGAGCATCTGCATTAACATGAACACTACCTTTCCTATACCACACCATAAAGTCGTACTGTTGTAGTTCTTCATGCTACCAAGCAAGTGAGTAGTCGATCTCTACCACCCTCTTTAACCATTTTATTGCTTGATGATCTATCCGCGCTACGAACTGTTTGCCTATCAGATAGCACTCGAAATGCCTAACTACGGTATTGAACATCTATTACAAATCCTAAGAGGCGAACGACTGTGATACACTGCTCTGACTTGTAATTCTTGCCATTTGGTGACTGTCAGGTCTATAAGATGACTCGAACGAAATGTCTTCACCAAGGTGAGATGTTCCGCCAAAACGAGATGGTAGACACCTCTATTGAAATGAACAGCCACTTGTTGGATATTAATTTCCTCAAAACTCAGCTCTGCTAGGTACATACGCTTCATCACTCTCCACAGGTTTCTAAAAGCACCAAAAAAAACCAGCAGCCAGGTATCGGTTTCTTTGTAATGAGGCCAAATTGAGCAGCTTTTCGCAGCATTCATCTACGCTTTAAGTATGAGAGATGCCCGCATCAATGGTCTCGTAGCGTAATTCAAAAGACAAGGCACAGAGAAGACGAGAAACTCTTTGGGACCTCATCTGTATGCTTAGCTTACCTCTCGTATACCTAAGTCAGAGGTCAAATTTCGTGTCTTCCATGAGAGAGATGATGTTGGTCGGTGCTGGCTTCAGTGTTGCACCTTCCTCTCCACTCCATTCGCCCTTAATCCTCGTCTTCTTAGAAGAAAGGTACCTTGGCGATGATTAATTGTGCATTTCTATGTAAGCACAATCAGCAATATTCGTACTACACTTGTACGGCGTTCCAATTAAAACTCGATTTCCTCCCTACAAAGGGTTATTTAAACAACCACCGTTTTACAGAAGAAACGAAATAATGGATACTGAACCCATCCCAGTTAAGTAGCTAGATAAAACGATTTGTGTACGGAATTCGTGTTGATGTAGTTTCGTACAATACTCAAAAATGCCGAATTTGGTGTATTTACTCTAAAATGTATTGCGCTCTGGTTCGGAAGAGATTTTCCATATAATTCTAAACTAGTCATTATTATTTTCTAAAGTGGACACTTATGTCCATTATATATTCCAAGTTAGTCAGTTAAGAAAAATAAGCTATACAATGTCTGGTTTTCATCGATGCAAAATTAGTAAAATCTTAAAACTTGGCAGTTTTCCTATGATTTGAATTGACTTAAACCTTTTAGTTTATGCAAATGAGTAGTTACAACAGCCCCTTAATTTACATCTCGCCTTGGTCTTGTACGTGGCAATTTGAGGATTTTATCACTAGCCCTAGTACTTGAACTACATGAGAATCTGAAAATGGATTAAATTGTGATAAATAATACCCCTAATTCAGCGCTTTTTACTCTGTACTAAGCATTTAAATCACCATTTATCGCGATCTCTAGCTCATTCTATTAGAAGCGCCAGTCCTGACTTTGAAAAAATTAGCAATGCATAAAATTATTTTAACAAGATATCTTCCGGTTTTGTTACTTCTGTTTCAAATTGATGACAACGAATTTTTTAACAAGGTAATATACTATAAATTGCTTTGAATCTCATAATACAAGCATTTGTGCTTTCTCAACTGACTTGGGCGCAATACATGCGCGTTCTAGAATGCAAGGGCTGTAATCAACCTAAGTGAGAGAATTGTGTAGCCTCACTCCCCTCCCAATCGTCTCCTAATGGGCGGTTTACTTACAACCCTTTTTATTCGATATATGAATGCATTGTGAGTGGGAATATGAAAACAAAGAGAGAAAGTGGGTGTAGAGTGGGATCCAAGTGGCGTTAGTCGGCCTTCCAATAAAAGGTTGGCTTTTTCTCCTTCTCGGAACTATAAGGCCCCATTCATCAACGACTTTAATGATTTGTAAAGTTATTTCAGATTACAGTGCCGATTTCCTCACAGTAAGCGTTAGCGTTCCGGTTACTCTTCGCAAACGGCATAGATTTTGAAATTCAACCTCTTCTATCTCCCAGCTTCAGAGTGCACTTAGAACCCTACACTTCTCACATCTTAAGCTGTTCTCGGCTGTCGTTGAGTCTGAACTATTTTCTGGAGCTTTTCTAGTCCAAATCCTTATCGGATAACCCTTGGCAAAGAAATAGACTGAAGACGAGTTGGCAAATGTATATTTTATAAGCGAGAGGTTAAACTGGGAACAGCAGGCATTTTGAAGCATACGGTAGAGCTATTCAATTCAACTTGATCTTCCATCCACCTTAACGCATATCACTTCCTTTGTTTAAAGTAGTAAACTAGTCCTCTCAGCTAGGATAGGCTCCATTCAGTGGTGAAGAGTAACAGCAGGAGTTTGCATTTGTATGTGGACTACAGAAGCTGAGGGTATTTGAAACGGTTTTCCTTTTTTTTCTGAATTCTCACTCCACTGACGTATTAGTCTCTCTACTCTGGTCAAAGTGGTTATCCACTTCGTTACTGGCAACCATTAGTGCCGGAAACGGAGAAGAAACACAGTTATAGTGCTGCCAACCGGGTTTCATGACTCTCAAACAATAATTCCTAGCATGTGTAATGTAGTGGCCACTTTTTACTGCCTTATAAGAATCGAACTGTACGAGTTATACTTGGCAGGTATTCAAATCTGCACGGATAGTGTAAAAGATAATACCAACCCGCATTTTGTGTAAGGTCGTCTGCAAGGCTTATGGGTAACCCTAAACCCGAAAGAATGCTGATTTCTGTACTTCTAAGCCATATCGTCTCTGAACAGAACATGAGTCCCAAAAAAGTGCGTGGAAAGGAAGTTGAGATCTTGCCATCATTAATTAACCAATTAACACACTTTGTCCCCTGAACTTGACAATCTACAATTGGCGTTTTGAAGAGGTTCCTTCTAAGATGAAAAGTCCAATGTATCAACCGATGGGAAATTAAAAAAAAAACCACTCCACTTTAAACCGAGCACAGGCGCTTCAGGTATGGACAATGTATTCTCACTGAAATAGCAAAAAATGAGGGGAAAATTGAGCACTATTTAAAATGTTCTGCATTGAACTGAAGCGGTTGCGATTTAGTATTGCCACGACGGGAGGCTGCTACAGTTCAAAATACTCGTAAAGCGGACTGCACTTCGGAAATGCAGATGTGGTTTGCCGTAAACTATTCTTGGAGGAAATTGACAGGTGGTGGAAGTGACGGTGGAGCAAATACCGTAGTTTTTAGCATGCCAACTAGCCATGAACGAAGAAGAAGGCTGGTTCCATATACCTTAGACGGTTGAGTTAATTCGTCTTATGTGTAGAAAGCGTTCAGTTAATACACATCGCATGACAGAACGGATGCCATTTAAAGTTCAATGAAATGTCCTCTGAACAAATACAACCATGACTTCCTCAACCCAAGCAGCCTATTTTATTCTAAGGGAATGGTAAAGGCCGAACATGTAATCTATATAACTTTTAACCAGACAACATGGAGGGCGGCTCACCTTAATGACAGTTTTGATCGCTGTCCCATTTGGTCCTATATTTTATTAATTTCTATATTTTACTTTTCTTCGAAGTCCTTCATGGTCAGGATGATTAAATTAATCCACTATGGATTCTGGTTTTAGCACAACAAATGCGAAACTGTGTAACAGAATAACGCTTGTAAAAATGTCGAATTTTGATTAACTCTTCACTCTTTCATTCAGTTGGGCGTTGGGTGTAATACTATTCGGTTGCTGTCTTGAAGCCTCTTCTGAACGTCGACAATGTCCCTTCTCCCGGCAAAATACCTCCTCCTCTTCTGTAGAAAAGTGTCAGTAAATTGCAACAACAGTCATAACTCAACTTTTTAAATGCGGGGCTTATTAAATAGGCTTGCATTGTGTTTGTAAGCGTAACGGTGCTAAACTGTCAAACGACATCTATCACAAAAGATGGTGTTCCAATTAATTGCTCTACAGACGGCGCTGTTAGTGCGTCTTTGCATAGACAATGGACCTCAAACACACCTTTTCTGTACGGTCGTTGATGATGGTTTGTGTACTAACTCAGTGCACGATATAAGTGCACATCATTGCATCGTCAGTTCTCTCTTCGCGCTTTCTGTTAGACACACGACCTGTGAAATGAGGGCTTAGCAATAGCATCGAGTACGTGGACCTGTGCCATACGTCTTCACGCAACCAAAGCCCATCCTAAAATATATTGTATGCATGCTGTATTCGGGCCATGGAGAGGCAAAGGACTCTGACGGTTTGGTTATCGAAACTGTATCCAAAGGGTGGATGTCAACCGATTACATGAAAAAGCATGTTAAAGTCGAACACGATCAGCTACTCCTTGACTCAGAACTTATACCTTGTGGAGCGAAAATTGGTTGATTTGCTGATAGCCTCACCCTATTTTCATGAGCAAGGGCTAATAACCTGAATGCACAATGCAAATGCGTTTTGAAATGGCATCAAAACGAGCCTAGTTTCGGCATTTTGAGGTGCAATGAAGTCAACCCCTGACGTGAACGACAGCGCATAACCCCAGCGTGAACGTTCAGTGACCCATCACTGCAAGAACATGGTGCTTCTAACTATGATGCACACGCACTTTTAAATAGTTGGACTGCGACACATCAATCGTCACAGGGTACGCAACACAGGACCGAATCTTTGGACGTGAATAACACAAGGAGTGAGGATGGTGTGTTTATTAACTGAAAACTTGTTTTTTAACTAACCTGATATCTACTGACAAAGTGTAGAAAACAGCATGCATTCTCAGTAGCTGGACTGATTCTATATGCTGCAGAAACGCTTTTCACAACCGAAGGGACGCTAATCATGACAGTGAATCGACTACCTCACCTGTTTAAAAACTAAAAACTTTCCTTACAACTCTACCAGGCAAGAACATTGATAATTATGACCTTACAGAAGTTAAATGAAAGGAGAAAAGAGCAATTTCCAAACAGGATTAAATTTCAGATTCAGAAGAATTTCCAAGGGGATTAGTGATGTGACATACGAACCCAATAGTGGGTGAGGCCGACCTGAAGCCGCTTTGTGACACTGACTACATGACCAACGCGAATGACTGATTATAAGGACGACGTCAAGACCCTTCAGATTGGATAACGGGAGCCTGAGGGCCCCCGCCATTGTACCTCTCCTGAATATCTTTACCTCGGTGCCACTCTGGTAGTTTCAAGTCCTACCATAAGCCGAAGGTACTCACCCGACGCTATTCGAGCTTCGTGCTTTGATACAAGACGATGTAGGTGCCAAAACTATAGTAGAGGAAGCTGAAGATTAAAAAACGCAGACGCGAGTGTTCTTACATTTTAACAGTTTGACAGATATATTCCGAGTTTGGCAGATGGTACCTTATACATACGCCCTACACCACTTTAGCTTGCCCTGCTGAGAGGCTGATTCAGGTTACAACGCAGAACATAAAACTACCAAAATAAATAAACCTTAGAAACTCCCACTTGAAAATGAATCAGAAGACCTGGACAATTGCAAACAATTTCTTAAAGGTAGGAATCAAGGAATTTAAGGGCAAGAGGCATAAAACAAAGATAGATGAAAAAGATTAAGTGAAAGACATAAAGACAGTGGTAGCTACGTTCATCATATCCAATTGGGATATTCGTCGTTGCCCCACCCTCGAGAGCCCCCCGGTGCCAAGTAGATACGTCTGCCACGGAAGAATACTGAGACTATTCCCATATATGCGGTTCTTGCAACACCCTCTTTGAAATCCTCCATTGCCCCCAGTAATCGAGCAGCAGCAACAAAGCCCGCTTGCGTTTTGTACTCCAATCGACACGCAGTGTCCTGTGACGAAGCTTGAGCCAGGTGAGAAAGCTGAGAGCTATCATTCAACAGCAATGTGTTGTCATAGACCTCAGTAAGGAATCGAGCATCATAAACAGTAGGTTTAAGTGTTATACGCAGGAGAGATGTGTTAAAAACAAAGGGTTTGTCATTTAGATAGTTGAAACGCAGGTAGGAATCAAAGAATTGACCGTTGGAGACGCCCTTCCGACCAAAAGTGTGGGAGCGCGAGATCTCAGGTCTAATACACGATCGGCCGCGGCGCACTGCTTTCTTGCGCATGAATTCGTCCCAGTAAGCTAGAGGCCACGCTTCTCGCAATTCCTCGTCCCACAGCTGCCGTGTGAGCATCCAACCCAGGCCAGGAAAAAAGTCACTCCTGCTAACCGAAAGGCAACACAACTATCTCGTTGACCGAAATTGGCCATCATAGAAAGGCGAATATGTAAATAAATCCTTCGAGGAATGCATTTGACAAATGTTTTTTGTCCGACAAATAATGCTGTAAACATTTATGCATTACTGAGAACAGGACGTTCAGGTATAGAGTCAAGTGAAATGCTTCCAGAGTTGCTTGTTTAAAAAACATTTTCTCATTTACTGGTCGTGAGAGCAAAAGTGGAAAGTATTGCACGGGAAGAGGGAGCTGTGTGTTTGTTTGACGCTCATTAACGTCAGTGCTACTCTTCAACTAATGAGAGTAAATAGACACGAAAAAGAAGGGATCACTGACTTTCGCCATACTAGGTCTTCGCCAGCCAACCTAAGAAGACAGGGTAAGTGGATAATGAAGATGAAAAATGGTACTCAACAAGACGTGTTTACATAGACAAAAATGGAAACGTGTAAAACAATTGGTCCTCACCGGAAAAAAACCTGTTACAATTTCCTTGTCCTTTAACACGGGGCATTTGTAACCGGAACGCTTAGTAAGCGAATAATAATGCATTCAAGTAGTACCTTCGACTCATGCGCATCAAGGGGGAAGTTTTCAACGACATAGTCACGATTTTGTACAGAAGAACAATTAAGAAATATTGAGAGACGCTAATGATGCGAATCGCTGTCTATACACAAAACCCGAGCAGCATCAGAAAAGAACCTAGGAATTTTTGCGTTCGAGATGGATGCAAGTCATCATTTTTAGGTCGAAGAAAAGGATGGTGAACACGAAACAAACACACAGAGCAGGATGTGTGCTAAAAGGCATCCATAAGAATACACATCAAAGTTGTTTGCTGAAAGGTCACATTGGTAAGGTGTCGAATGGTTGTCAGAAAAATGTGCGATACTGGCATCCTAAAAAAACTAATGAGAGGTGTTGGAGTCTAAACTTTGAAACCGGGTAAAAGTTAAAGTAAAATGCTGCAGATATCGACCGTGCATAGATGTTTATTCTAAAACTAAAGTAGAGGCTTGTCACTCATGAGATTGCAGTTTTCTTACATTAACTCAGAGAAGTAGGACGACATAGTGAAGGTAGATAGTGGAATTTGAGATTGAAACCTATTTGATAATGAAGGAATATCCTGATGGTCAGAAAATCAAGAAAGTGATGAGAGCAAGAACTCATGTAAATGGGACTACTTCATCGCCGACATGGAGAGAAAACATATTCGCATACCTATAAAGGAGGTCGTTCCGTGACTTGTCGATAAGCGTCGGTATGCCATTATCATTCCAAGCTGAAATGCAGAAGAGGGACTTGTCTTCCATGAGGAGGGGTGCAAGTGCACTGAAATAGTCGAAAAAGTCGGGCGCTACATCTATATCATCCTCAACAATGATTGTCAGGTTGTATTTGTATTCATCAAACATCTGACCCAGGGACCACCTATAATTGCGCGATATCCGATAGTAACCTGAAATAAAGGAATATAATTAACGAATGCGTAAACAAGGCACCATTTGATAAAGCGGATGTGAGCTGTGATGAACAGAGTAAATTCGAGGGATATGTGAAAGACATGAAAATTAAGACTATAGTATGAGAGCAACTATTGTCTAAATAGCATAACTGATCGAAAATATCTGCTTACACCACACCTCGATTCTGCGAAAACGAAAATCTTAAATAAAAATACATAGTTACCTCGGGGAAATCAGAAGCCAAAATAAAATCAAAATAACAAATTACAATAAATCGATAAAGAAGGAACCAAATAGGAGTGGAGTGCGTTTGGAGGTTGCAGAATAACAAAGTTCAAAATCCTTCAAATAGCACTAACCGGGTATTTAAAAAGAAAGCGGGACGCAGAAATAAAACAATGCATTAGTAGGGAGGGAGTATAGGAACAAGACGAAAGTAAAGCAGGGAAGACGATATCTCAAATGTTCATGTTAACGGATGCAGGACTTCATAAGAGAAAAATAACCAGTCAAAGTCTCCACTCCCCATAAACAAAAAGGAAAGTCTAAAAAAGGTTATTACTGAGTTGTAAATACCACAACACAATTCGAACAAAGTAGAACTTATACCTCGCAAATTTTCTCTGACATATCGAAAGTTGAAGTCTGAATGATCAGGCTGATTCAAAACAGTTATCTGGTTCCCATACGACCGCAGCAAAGTTAAGACATTTTCATCGTTGCAGTCTTGTGATACGTAAATCGGGAATCGCCATGAACCGTTCAAGTACCCACGTCGATATTCGACCAAATGACTTAGAGACCGATTCATAGACACCCTATTGCATGCTAGCATCAAAACAGGAATTTTGCCATTAAAATAGTCCGAATTAATAGCAGACCTGCGTATGGAACCCTGCGACAAACATAAAATTAAACCGAAATGAGAAATTACTGTGTCAATAAGTCCTTGCTTCCCCTGATAAAAAGCTGCATTAACTGACTCCACGCTAGTCTTGTCATTTTGGTACAAATAGACGAATAACAGGAATTGACAAAGTATTATGATGAAAACACACACGCCAATCAACCGAATACGCATTCGGATTGAAATATGTACAGACCTTGGTGCAAATCAAAATACCGCTCCCTCATTAAAACAAATGACCTTACAATACAAAACGCCCCATAACGATATAAAGTTATATAGATGGTTAATTAAACATTATTCGCGTATTGTGCAATTTTCGGTACTATACATTGCAACCCAAAATTATATGGTGTCGTAACTAGTAAAATTGGTAAAGCGTGTGCCCCACACTAACAGACCGAATAATTTTTAGTTGATTTGTTTAAAATCACTCATAGGCAGAGCTAGGTAATAGCATTAAAAGTTCAGCATCCTTTTCGTAGTAGAACGCATGGCAACGAGGTGAAATGTGCATATCTTGCAGATGAGTATGGGGTGAGCCTTGGGAAAGTCCCAGTGATAAGCCTACTGGACAATATATGACTACTACTGATGTCGGGGTGCACGCAATCAAAAATGCGAATTTACATAAAAATTCACACTAAATTACAAACTGCATTGTTACTTTCCGAGGCTTCCCAATTGGTAGCAGAATACATTAATTTGGGCCAAATACATTCGTTCTACGAGACGAGATTAAGCTGCTACCTTGCACTGACGGCCAGCCTACGTTAATAGGAGTAGGGAAACTGCCAGCCACACGAGTTGTCAAACCAACAAAGTGTTTAATGCAGAAATTATAATCAAGGTAGTACTTCAACAATGTTTACATGATTACCCATACAGCTGGCAGTCACTTTGGTTTTTCTTCCTTCTCTTGTATGCTAGGGCTAGCCTTTGGGTCACACCAGAGCTATCCCTATTTTGGAGCTCAGCGTCTTCAGGGGCGGCCAAGGACGCCGCAAAGCCTACCAAAATCCAAACGGGATTTACCGGTATGAGTAGGTTTATCTGACTGTGATCCTCACTCAGTACTTCATGTCACCGTCTTTGTCACTGAATGTCAGCGTTGAGCCCTTATCACCACCCACCATGATTTCATTTACGATAATCTCTCGATAGTGTACATTACATGCATAGATTAAACCCCTACATCGTCTATTTATTTCCGGAAAAAATCCAATGTTCCATGGATAACAAATAGAGGTACAAACATTTAAGAATCAAGACGAGCAGTTATGGTAATTAAGGTAGCATTTTCGCGCCTCCAGGTGCAGAGGGCAAGGATGGAAAAGGAACACAAAATCAAAACTTGACATTCCACTGAAGGAAACATGAATAATGAGAGAATCTTCAATTATTGGATAGATGGGTAGGGGAGGGAGATGGGCAAGTGGTTGGCGGACGCAAACCTGAAAGACAAGCGGTGATAGTCATGGCAACGACACAGAGCCTCATGACCGATCCCGTGGCGCCAGCGGCGTAGGGGACTCGTGGTAGTCCTCCTCCTCACTGTCCCACTCCAGATGGTAGGCACGTGTAGTGAAATCACGGAACACCTCGATAGCCGTGTCATCCTTTCCACCAACGGAGAATGTCGAGTCCATGATCTAAACAAATACACATGAACAGCAGCATTATGTGCTAGTCCGAACTTGATTTACATCACCAAACGAAATGACTGTTTTGGATTAACCAACGTACAAAACTTGTTTGCACATGACGTGGACGTCCGACATGAAAGTCAGTGTACCGACTACTGCGATCTGAAGGTCACACTTTCTAGTCGTAGCGCATTCAAATCGATTATCGGAACCCACAACATCCTAACCAAGTTACCCAGTAAGCAAGGAGGTGAAAGAGTCTGTCAAGTCGAGGTGTTAATTATCAGCTCCTAAAACGCTGAGTGATTCAGTCCCACGCAGTCTAGAAACCTCTTGATCTAACGTATGCTTACGGACAGGCGTAATTGTATTTATTGTAGCGCGTTTTAGGAAGGCCAATGCGGCTGCACACCAAAACGTCTGCTGTGAATCATTGCAGCTAGGGCAAATCACACCTCCGAGTGGAACCACTAACCAAGTTTTTGAAAAGGGCGAGAACAAACGGGAAGCTTGCATTTTGTGTAAGCCGTATCAGGAGGAGAATTTCTGCAAAGGCATGACAAACTTTGTACAACAGACACCCAAGGCGGTAGTTCAAAGCTAAAGGAAATATGAATCAAGATTTCCTTTTGTCTGAGAAAATGCCCTCAAACTAAAATGAGTTAACTGCAATCTTGCCAGTTGAATTTGCTTCCACAATTATTGTATCCTTCTGCGCTTATTTTTATGGGATAAAATGAAAACATTTAATAAATGAAGGAGAATTTAGCAATAGCCACTGTAGAAAATGCAGAAGCGGAATTATAAGGAATTGCCAATAAATCTCCTCCTTTTACGGAAGTAATGCACAAACAATCAAGCTATGGCACTACGACACTAAAGCGCTATAGGAGGTAGGAATAAATGGGGCGCATTTCACTGACCTTGGAGTCACTATGGAGGGGTTGCAGCCGTAGGAGAGTGACAATGTCGGCATGAGCGGTGTCAATAGCGACATCAATAGGTCGACGACCATCTTTGTCTCTGATTTCCTGATTGGCCTGCCGACGCAGCAACAGACACACTAGATGTACCCGTTGCAAGCTACAGGCGTGGTGCAATGCTGTTCTGCCGTCCTGATCCAGAGCGTTTATCTGATATGGAAGATACAAATATTGCTGAAAGTATGCGTTCATGCATGAGGACTTGAAGGTAAAGCCGATTTGAAGTTACGGGAGTCCAACTCTTCAGAACTGTGACGCTCCTTTGCTCAAGCGATTGTTGTTTTTTAAAATCACACCATCGGCACCTTCTGTGGCATCACATGAGGAAGCTTCTTGAGCGAATGAATTTAGGCTCAGTGAAGTTATTCACTTTGACCTGATACAAGGTTACCGCAATTACATCCTTTAAGCGTCATAGGGTGGGTTTTACGTATTTAACATGGACTATGCTATCAAAGCATGGCAAAATAAGATGCAATCCCAGTGGAGTTGACCCTACATGATTCGCTTAAGAACAGTGGCAATGGAGTATTTTTACGCCAATATTTGGTAAACAGAGTGAAACTTAATGTCACCTGTAAAAAGGCAATGGCTTGAATGACACCCTATAATCAGCACTGCCAGTATAAACATACAGGACTTAGCGGAGGTAGATGAAATTGATGTTCACTTAGCAAACTACTTTAGCTAGGAAAATCTGTGCCTGAAGAGGCTACTTTTCCGCATTACAGGGCTAGAAGGCGAGGTCACTCTCCGAACTTACTGAGTCAGAAGCAAGAAGAGGCTGCGGAAGCATAAAATGGCCACTGAGATGAAGTGTCCCTTGCATAAAACTATCGCCTTGATCGTGTGGCAAGTGAGAGGTCGTGGCCTCATGGGTGGTCATTTCCAAAGGTCAACATATCATTCGGACAAACGACATCATATTAGATCAGTGAGAGACCCTCAAACCTCATTTCAGGGCACCAAGTTCAACAGCATCGAAATAATTTGGGAAGGCTGACAAGGGACATCCAACAGATACACTCGGTCAAGTCATTAGAGAAAAAGAGCAAAGGAGAACGGAAAAGAAAATAGTTTATGCAAGTAATGTGGTGCAAAGACACAATTGTGACGTAGTTAAAGGGACGATAAGTTAAGCTAGAATTGGTATTATTAATTAAATCAGGCGTGGAAACCTCCACAGCACGTGAAAAACACAGACATATGAAAATCACAACTTCATACAACCCCATGCATGTAAACACACATACGGTACAAATGTCAGCGCAGGGTAGCGAGGTGGCTTAGGGGGCACATCGACATCACAGCATAACCCCAGTGGGGGTAGAGCAACACCTCATAACTTGGGCCTCCTATCTTGACATTTTCCGATTAATTTATGCAACAAAACATTGTCCATGCAAACATCTCTGGCGTGTAGTGGCGGTCAAAGGGAGTGATGGGTGGCAGAACATTTTCGAGTGATCATAATTGACTCGTTCAAACAGGACAATGAAATCACAAGTAACCAGAAGCCCCGAAGAAGAAAGAAGCAATAACAAATCAGCAAGTGTGAAGATCTTATAGGCATCGCTCCCAGAAAATGTTATTGGCAGTCTGCACGAAGGCATGGGAAAGTCACTTTACGATAGCATCTGTTTGAAGAGTTGAAAGCAGCGATGCGTGTTACAAGTAGACGAATCGTCAGAGGGTTATTTGTAGCATTTCTCGAACCTGAAAGCAAATTTGTAGAAATTCAACTCCAAACAGATAAAACTGAAAGAGCAAAGTTGGCCAAGGTAAAAGAAGATAGTCAACTTAAAAATATCATTTCGCTAAAAGAAAGGACTATAAGGAAATCAACTAAGATAAGCAAACTTAATGGAGAAAGAGATGAGCTAGGGAAGAAGGCGAAACTTGTGATGAGAGTGTAAAGCAGATCAGAGTCAAACGCAGCACGGCCCAGACGCTAGGTAAAAACAAATGCGCAGATGGCCCATAGATCGGAACGGAAGGACCAGTGAATGGGAGAGACAGACGAATGAGCTGCACACAAACACACGCAACAGTTAGACCACTGACTACGGTGGTTAGTGGAGGAAGTGGCCGTTAAATGCATTCAAGAGCGAGGATACAAATAGACCGGATTGCCTTCTACCGGCAATTTCATTGGCCCAATCCAAGTTGGTCAAAAGAGAATAAAAGATTCATGAGGATTTGTAAATTTTTAACCCAGAGCACAAATGCGCTGGCGTCTTGGATGAAATCTTCCACAGGTTGTGGGTAGAAATAGGGGTACGCCTCATATCCATCGCAGTCGAATGTTGTGTTTATTTTGTCCAAGCCAAAGCCCAACTAGGTCAAACGCAGGACCGCTGAGCCTGGGCTATGGAAACAAATCCAGGATTGCAAAAGCGAAAAAACCAAAGTTTGGAGAGAGAGTTCAGTTTGGCAACCTCTTGGCATTCAGCAATTGTGAACAATGATCCAATTTTTTAAAGTTCATATGGACAACGGTCCTAGGAACACAAGAACTGAAAAGCTAGCGCGTTGGCAGTCAGTCTGTATGTGCGAATGACCGGAAAGGCGAGAGACGGTTTCCGTGATAGAATGAAATGTCACAACTTTAGGGTACCTACTCCAAATGACCGGCAGTGCCACTGCTTTAAATCAGGGTCGAATTTGGCAAGCTCATAATCAAACAGACATGCGAGCTTTTCCACCAGCAGGTCATTGCCCCATTACCCTTTATTAGGCGCTTTTATGGGAAGGTGAATGACTAACCTAACACACGGCTTGAGTCAGGAAAGGTGTGCTGAATCGAAGTCGACTCTGCTAAAAAACAACATTTCAAACGCATACCGACGTATAATTAAGAACCTGTTACCACTTCATAGGTCTTTTCCCAACAGTTGGTCGTAGAGCGTCTAAATTACGAACGAAATAAGCATTGCCTATAGTGAGTTGTTAAAGATGCATCTAAAGCCCCAGAAACATTGACTATTTAATAAGTAAACTTTGATTTTTAACTATCGAAGAAGGCCAATTTGTTTACCTTTCCTCATTTTTGGTAAAGCGCTAAATACGACCTAAAGGGAGTTCAGCCGGCTAGAGGAAAAAGAGTGATGAATCGTTAGACCATTTTTGGACCAAAAAACCATGACTTCACGCAAATGATTTATTACACCATCGTTAATAACTGTTATAAGGTCAAAGAAATAGAAATAACGCATGTCAAAGTGCCAAGAAGGCAACAAGGTCCCACTGCATTCACGTACCGCTGGATTACCGGTAGGATTGAAACAAGGCACCGAAGGGGGAACACGACAACTCAGGCGCTATGGTCCTATCGCCCAGCCACCTGATTTGTCGCTCTCATCACGATTTAGTGAGCATGAGAAAGATAAAGGAAGCGGGAAAACCCCACGGAAAGGGTGTAGTGGCTAAATGCACGAGACAGATTCCTGGATAATTATAGAAGACGGCATAGGGATCAAACAAGACTCTGTCATGGCTTGTGGGGTTATGAATTGTTCGCTTTGATTCAACTTGTGGACAGAGAGAAGATGGAGCATTGAAATGATCAAGTCATGGACCTGTGGCCAGGTTGGATGAAATAAAAGTGCCTCTGTCAGGTTACAAATAACATCGAGCAGTCCATCCACAAATTCCCACCTCAAAAGGCGGTATAGGTGTGTGGGCATGCAAGAGACAGAAAAGGATCAAATGACGCCAACAAAACGTTTTTAGCTAAACCGATTCAAGTTTTACCATACAAAAAAGAGAGTTAAAAGTTATGGAAAAGGCCTGAATCCAAGCATTAAAAGTAACTGGTCAGGATCTTGGCATTGAAAGTCCAATTCACTGAACGACATCTACATTAATGCCAGCAATATTTACCAAATAAGCTAAACCATCTCAGAAAGAGTTGCGAATTGAGAGAGAGAAAATAATTCGGCAAAGAGTGCCTGGGAAGGAATAATTAGTCATGATGGAGAAGAATAAAAAATAAATCGCTAAACTAGCAAATATCTTCTTGCGCTTCTCGGTATAAACACCGCACTGAGTCATTCTGGCAGAATCCCGTGATGGTGGGGTCAAAAAGTGATGAGAGACACGTGGTGAGACATCCCAAAGTAAGGTCTGCAGGGATCCTCAAAACCGAGAGGAGTGATTATGTGTACGTTTTAAACAAAGAAAATAACTACAGTAGGACGCTAACACTAGTTCTCGATGACAGACTCGCGAGTTTGTCCTATACGATTCGAAAAGTGCTGAAACAACTCACAGGCATGCAAATGCAGCACACCCACAGATCTTCAAAAATCAACGGTGTCAAGAAGGAAAACCTATGGAGATTATCTTCAGGGAGGTCACTCCTAGTTAGATGTCGCCAGAAATTGAGGAGAGAATTAGGAAGTTTTGGTGTTTTCTCATCTAAGCCCCAAACGCTTTAAGAATATCAGACTGCAGTGTCAATGAAAGCGTAGGGATTCAAAGCTGAAGAAAAGGCAGACACTGTCAAGGAAAGTAATGAGAGAAATAAGAACATACACATGGGGTAGTGGAGACGAAATTACAAATACCCAATCCCTAGATGATACCACCTTCCTAAATTCCACACGAAATTCCCTGGTACACAATGTGAGTGTCACCCAAAAGACTGAGGTCCAAAATGTTAGAAAGTCACCAAACATAGACTTCGATGAGACCATTATCCAAAAAACGTTGTTTGCATCAGGATTGAGGCTGTAAAAACACTGAAGTCCTGCACCAGAAGAACACTAGGCTTACGGCATCGTATTTTGCAATGAATTCAAAACGATGCAACCACACTTGAGGATGCTTGTCTGTATACAAAGCGGTAACGGTTACATTTATTTCAACAATAATAAATGACAATTCGGTCACTGTTGCCCATAAACTCAGGAAATAATATGGCTTGGAAATGTTTGTCATGTAAAAAGAGATCGCTCAAATAAATAATACCAACAGCAGTCGATGCAGTAGATGCAAAGCTTTATGTTCGAATAAAAGGACTGATTTATCACATATTTAAATCGACCCCTGAAATAGTGCCGTAAATCTGGTATTTAACTGTCGAAAACAACAGTGGATGTTAAACAAAACGGTGACAAAACATGTATTGTAAATAAAGACCTAGCGCACCACATAAGTCGCAGAATTTAATGACAACAGCGATTCCGCGTGGTTTTACAGGCGAAGAGGACGCCTTCTGAGGTTACACAAACTTGGTGGGCTGGTTCCATGCAAGCACCGAACAACAGTGAACATACTACATTGAAAGGAGACAAGTACCAAAGAAACCTATGCCCCTTTGAGAAGCTACAGGAAACCGGAAGTTTGAAAATCCTCTTTGATGCCTACATGCAAAACTGCTAGGCCGACAACGCTGAAATTGAATGGTTAAATATAATTATCCTCAAGGCGTTTGCATGATCATAAGAAAAAGACCTGGAGAAAACTTTGAAGGAGAAATTGGAACGATTTTCATGTTATTAGAGGGGACCTAAAAGACCGGCGATAGTGAGAACATAAATGACAACCACCCAGCGTTGATATTGGCTTGACTACGTACTTCGCATTATAACAATTGTAGGAGCATCAGGTGAACGAGAATTGGAGAGAAAAAAACTTACATCAGCCCCGTTGGTAAGGAGGAGTTCACAAGCGGCTATGCGTCCACCAGTGACAGCGGAGATGAGGGGTGGAGTGAGGACGCCGAGGGGATCACCATCGGCAGGTTGGGGCAGTCGGTAAATGCGAGCCCATTCAGCTGCCAAAGGCAGGGCGTTGGGTGAGGCACCACGAGCTAGACCAGCGAGGATGAGTGGAGCGCAACCGAGACGCGCGCCTGCCACCAGAACAAGGCGTGCTGCCGCCTTCTCGCGCATGCTCTCCGACGGCGATAACGGCAAGGAGCGCGGTTCCCCAAACACTATCGAGTCCAGATGTGCGCACAGAGTGTCTGCGATTGCGATTGTTATTAACTGTTAGAGATAGCAGAGACAAGCGTCGAATGACGCAGTGCCAGCACCAGTCATTCCTTTAGAGAAATATTCAATCGAATTTCGCTTCTCACCTAGGTAATGTCGCTATCATCTAGGCTTTTCTTTGAAGAATTGTTAGACTGAAACCAATTTCAAGTATGTGAAAGGTAATTATAAAACATACTATTTAGCCAAAACGGATGTTGGATTCTTTCCTAACCAGGGAAACAAACTACAAGCTGAATTCAAGTGTAATGCAGAGCCGTTCTTTGAAGAGTAGAAGTCGATTATGCGAAAATTAATATCCTTTTTAGTACTCCAAATGACAGAACATAGTTGGAAAAAGTAGTGAGTGCTGTTGATGGACTTTGAATTATGAGCTCGCAAAAGTTACTGCTCACCAAGAAACACGGAGCAATTTCAGGCCTCAAAGCTTAGAAATTAATGCACTCATTTCATTTCATTCGGAGGTACCGAAGTTACAAGAATTATACCTTTCATGATTGGAAAAATTTTCAAATGATAGATTTTCCCAAAAGTTTACCCAGGAGATAGGACCGGGCTAGGAACAATAGTATACTGGAAAGAGTGCTAAAATCCACCCAAAAATACAACAAAATATTTAGATTTCAAAACATAAAAGTCAATGACTTCATAATCGTAAGGTCGATCCAATCATTTATTTAGTTCAAAACTACTGCATCAGTTCCGTTTCACACTTTTTCATAATAAAATGGAAATGTGAATAAAAGCATATAATTACAACGATTTTCTGTTGAATACTTGGCTAGAGAGGAGTAAGGATACTTCAAAGGCGACTCAAGTGTAGGCATCTATGCCCACAGATTTGGTGGCGCTTAAAACACAAACAAATTTAAAGTGGTAACATCAAAGGAGAGAGAAACCAAGGGCTAAATGCAAAGTGGACTCAAAAATAGTACCTACTAAATAAGCAAGTGAAAGTTGACAAAAGCGGGCTATCAGGAGAAGGGAAACATACCAAGAGTGACTTGAGCGCGAGCAGTGCAGCCTCGAACAACGGTGGAGAAGCGCCGTCGGTCAACGAGGCGGGGATGGTGGGATCGCGTAATCCTTGGACCAAAAGCGACAGGGCCGAAGACTGTGGCAGACAAGGTACTAGGAGTAGTAATGGCCGAAGCCTTAGACCCCGGCGGCGAGTGACGAGGACGGGAGGTTCTACGGGAGTGCGCCTGTAGAAGCCAGCTGCGGTAGAGATCAAGGAGCCACATTGTGACGCTGGGCTGCACAAAGGAGCGTACGAATAAACGTCGCACCCACTTCGCCTCCACCCACGCGCGTCGCAATTGCGCATTCAGCTCGCCCTCCTGAGGCCGACGTGGTAGCGAACACGTTTCGGATGCCGAAGACGGAGGCAAATTGGACTCATAAACACTGGATACTAAATTGTTACCAAGATTACGCATCACTTCCAACAGCTCCGGCTCCCAATTGTCCAGTGTCAGCGAACGCACCTTTAGCAAAAGATAAAGTCCCAGAGGGGATATTATCACTCAATCAATCAGTGCATTCATGGAGTTGATTCACCCACATTTTCAAGAGACACCAAGTGTTACAGTAGCACGCGTGGAGTTGCCATAAAAAACCCACTCTGCTGACGGTACATAACTTCTGGTCCCTGATCGGCGCGCGCATTGCAAGTTCACGCAAAACCAAATTACAAAGTACCGACTTGATTTAAGGCATTGTCGCAAATGTTGTTTTCAGTCATGGTACCACAAACAAACCATACCTTGCAAGAAATTTAAAATTCAGATGGGTTTTTAAAAGATAATGCGCATACGTATCGAATTCGCACAGTACCCAATCATTAGGCATTCTCATCACGAATCCTCGTAATGAGTAAGGGCTTTCACAACTTTCTAGGAGCCCAACTATTTTCAGAGCACCCTGAAGAGACGCGTGACTGAAATTTAGAATGTCGAAAACCAACGTCTCCCTCTAAGGGATGTGCTGAAACAAGGCTCAACCCGTCCCAAGATGAGGTTACATGACTTTGATTAACAATGGTGTCTTTATGATACATAGTGGTCAGCAACCTTGATAATGTCATCAGCATCGAGGTAGGAAAACCTTGGGACGCATAGGAGGTGAAAAGAGGGAAGTTTGTGTAAGTAACCCCTTTTGAGTTAGATCAGTGTTAGCAAAATGCCTTACTCAAAACTCTAATGACAAGTGATTCATAAATGCAATACGTCGTTGAGTTAAATTACTCTTGTGCATTAACCAAAAGCGTAGAATCACATGGTTTCAACTAACCACGACAGCTGAACTCACACTGATGCCTGCACACACCAGCACCCTTGTGATGCCACAGTTCTGATTGGCGTTCAATAATTGCCCTCGCAACAGCATTTCCAACTTATTTTTGGTTCAAGAGCAACCTAGTTTTTAACAAGGAAATAACCGCGTTGGAACCTATCCACTTAATGTGAATGATAGTGACAAAGCAAAAAACAACTTCCGGCCGGAACATCCAAACTCGAGTCGAATAAAATCATAAGTGCCAATGTTGACGTAGGAGAACTGATTCATCCCCAGCCTGCCACATCATGCTACCGACACTAGGAGGAAAGTCACTCTCAGTAGATGTGAACATTTTACACGAGTGGGGTCGCGGTGACAGTCAGGTACTGATAGTGATGACCAGTCAGCACCCGCGTACACACAAACAAAACGTGGGTGGATCACTTTTTAACCAAAATACTGTCATAAGGTAGTGACTATGACGCTATGCTAGTGAACGGGATAGTTACGAAAGAAAAATTGGTTGAATTGGGAGGACTGATAGTAACGAAACAAGTTATATAGTGCATTTCACACTGTAAGATCTACCTTTCATTTAGGAAAAACTGACGAAACCACTATGGCCTGCAAAGCTGTTGCCAATAGTAATGCCTCAAGTCAACCACCTTAGATATGTGAACTCCAAGACTTCGATGACAGGCAGCGCAGTCCGTACACAGCGTAACGCCTAAATTTGTAGACGCCCATTTGACATCATTACTGGTTAGACAATCAGCACAGGAGCGATTACCGGCTGTCGCCGGCTCGTCAAGCAGTAGAGCACCACTGAGGCTTCGCAAACTTTCCCTCGAACCAGTCAACGATGAGGTTGTCAGCAGATTGGATGCTCGTGCCTCTCCATTGGCGGCAGAATTTAAAAGGCCAGTACGAAGCACCGTCACCCATTTCTCCATAGCATCAGAAGACTCTGCTTGCAGGAAGTGTATCTTTCCTGTGGGCGAGATTAACTCAAACACAAAGCGACGCTCTGTGATGTTGGCGGCAGACGAAGATATAAGTGAGGGTTCTACACTACCACAATTTGAAGCGATTGGTTTTGCGGTGCATAGTCGCAAATCGGGCTCCAGAACCTTCCAAGTGATGCTTGTGTAAGTATCCGACAGGGAGGAGAAGTAAATCAATTGATTGTCTTTTACCCTAAACCACCGTCGAATCCATGTTTTCCATCTTTTTTTCTTGCTACGCTTGAAAAGGTATCCCTCAAAGCGAACGCTCTGATCCAACGAAGGCATTGTGGAAACACCGTTTGAAATGAATTTAGGCGTATTAGAAACCTCGGCGTCATAAATAGAGACTGATTTCCTCAGCGATGAGACACAGTCGTCGGGTTGAGTAAGTGCAGCCACGCCAGCGGAATAGTTTTGCTGGATCTCAAAGGTACAAAGAGTGGCTCGGAGGACGGTGGATAATCGAATAGGGCAGAGAACATTTCGGAGAAGCGAAAGGTAGCTCTCGGAGACTCGTGCATAAGCACCACGTGCATCCAAAAGTGTGGTGTCCACTTCCTCGGCATCCGATGTACGGCTACGCGAAACACCAGCAGATTTGTTTACAGCCACATCAACCTGTTCGCTAGCGCGTTGAAATTCTTTGCGTGCTTGGTGTAGCTCATCGAGCTTAACTCCCGCCTGGAACAGCACGTTGCTAGGTTGCGCGAGACGGGAAGAAAAGTCGGAAACGAGATTGGAAAAAGTGTAGATGGATCGAATTATGCGTTGAATTTCCGCCTCACGATCAATACTGATAGGGAGATTGGGACTTGGAGTTACAAGGTTGTTCAAACAACGACTCAGACCATTCAGAGCATCAGCAAACGCCTCTCCAGCCTAATGGTGATGACAAATAAGCGATTACTATTTGACAACGCAGATGATGATAAGAAGGTGTGGAGAATCACCTTTGATGTACGAGTGAACATTTCGGCTGCCTCCTTGTAGCGATCTTGTAAGAGGTCCACCTCTGCTTCACTTGTTCGGAGGGCCAACTGGAATATTGGAGAAAAACGAAGACTCTCCGTAAAGTTCAAAGAGTTCCAGAGCTCTTTTCCGTTCACTCCTATGGTGATATATGCCGACATCCCGATATCGGTTTGATAGAACTTTATCCCTATCCGAGACAAAAAAAGCGGCCCAAAATAATTTAGAGAGGACTCGATGGAATCGCAGACTAAACCGCATATTTCCAAACAACAATAAATTAGTCCGATCGCCGAAGGGTTTAGAATGGAACCAAAGAATATAAGTGCGCTTTTGACATTCACGGTCATTTCTTCTGAGCTTGTACAGACACACGTGGAGGATAATACAGAACAGACGAAAACTAGGTTGTAGTAGTAAATGTAAGAGTGTATATAAATTTATAACAACAAATACCATCAATGTAATGAAAAAATAAACTTTACTACTAAAATTACTTAGAAATGGATCCGTACTTGGCTAATACAGTGTAATGACAATTTCAACGGTGCGGAGAGAATCGGGGTCAAGCTCCCGACTCCCACATGTTTGCGCATGATAATCTTGAAACATGTTCACATCTTTAAGGTTAAGTTCAGACATACACCTTTGAAGTCTCAAGGATGTTCAAAAACACGATCCAGTGATGTTAGACAAGACAGAATATTGAGACTCACTAAACCAGAACTATGCATTTTTAATTACCTGCCCCCGAGTACGATCCATTAGTAACAGCCACAACAAACTATTCAAATAGAACATCCATTACAAGCTACCCAAGAATACTTTGATTTATACTTACTATAATGAATAATTTTCAGGTATAAGTCAGCAACAAAGTTTAAGCCTAAAAATGAAGAATTAAATGAGTGGAGTCTAATTAGCGTCGCTGAATGTAAGAAGGATGAACTTGAAATGACCGAAGGCCTCATCTGCCATGAACCAAATTTCGGTTCATAAATTATTCACTATAACTGTACATGCACAGTAGTACAAATGGCAGAACCTTTAGAAGGTGGGCTATAAGCGACGACAACGAGGTTTGCATATTGTGAGTCATTCCGGTTTAAAAAAAGTAAAAGCTCCGGTCAGGTAACAAAAATAACTCTTTTATCGCTTACGTAGACCACGAACTTCATACACGCGGCCAACATTTTCAAAAACTAATCTATAAGTGCAAGGGATATATCCATGCTGAAGTTAGAAAATGGCCCTAGGATCACCAATCCTGCATCCATTAGGGGTCGGTTTTACAAAAAAGTCAACGTTAGTGAAATTCCAAAGGTAAGTGCGACAAAATATCAACGGGAATGCATAGTCGAACAACAATTTTAAACGAATAGACTGTAGTATACAAGTTGATATAGCAGAACAATGAATCGCACGTACCAAAGGAGACTATGCAAATACACAAGTCCCTAACTGTAGCCGAGATTAACCAACCACCCGAAGGGAAAGATAAGCCTCATCAAATAATGATTTGGGGATTAGGTAACTTCAAGGTCATGCCTATGAAAGTTATGTACTAAAACAATTTTAACACAATTTCAATTTCTCAAAAGCTGCATTGAGTAGTATATAATCGTAATATAAAATAAAATAACTTTTAGGCTTTCTCCAAACCTCAGTGCAGGCCAATTCAACCTAAGCAGAAGATTCAATAAAGTTGACCTGAGCTCCCTTAAAATTAATTAATTTATTTTGATTTAATTTTTTGGCGACATCGAGTATCTGGTACTTATACGCACTAAAGTTTGCATGGGCAGTGCAACAAATGGTAAAATATTACTATGTGCAAAGCTTTTCGTGAGTATTTATAAAATGCTTTAATCTGGCGCAATCCAAATTAACCTCCAAAGCGTGTTTGACATTTTACAGCAATTACCTTTGGGCACAAATAATTTCAGATAAACCGATTTATTAAGCCGCCAACCATGTTCTTCTGTTCCGTAGAAAAGGATTCTACAGTTGCTTTTTACTCGTCTGATGGTATGCATGGCAGTCTATTCGGCGGTCATCATCTCCCTAAAAGCGATTTGTTCGCTATGCCTTATGCCTTTCATTGCTTGATCGGATATCTCCGAACACTGCAACTCACTTCCGAATATTCTGTAAAAAGTGTGCGATTTTCCAGCTGTCTCATCAGATACTAAAGGCTACAAAGCTAGGACTGAATAAACACTTAAGGGCGGGGATGAATCGGATGATTTCACAATGTAGCTTTAGCTTTGTCATCACCCAAATTCCGTCCTGACGTCTCCTCTAATGACCGTTCGTTTGCACGCGTTTATTTGGCAGCGCAGAAGAGCATAACCGAAAGTATGGCTTTTTTCAACGCACTCACTGACGAACAGAAAGATCAAAAGTAAAATTTTTTATTTCTCTGAAGAAGTCAACTTCTGTAGGCGCGTAGCTCCTGCTCAATTTACATTTACCTATCGAAATTTTTCGATGTTATCATCATCGGCTTTAGCTTTCTTAATGGTTTCTCCAGATCGGCTTTTTGTTGTGAAGTCGGTAATCAAAGTTGGTCTAAACCAGTAGACACCGCGATAGAAGTTATTTCAAAATCGAGTTCGCGAACCACTTCACTTCCGTGGAGACAGAAGACGTCTTACAGCTTAAGCTGGATACATGTTTAGCAAAATGAAGAGTATCAGAGCCTTTGACATGGTCTGACGATCAGCCTACCTGACCCAAGCGATGTACCCAAACAAACGAACTGTTTTACTGGTCTCCTTCGTTTTGATCAAGGGCTTGAGACGCTACTTCGAAAAAAGCGTTAATTTTAACTTAAAAGCGTCACCGCAAATTTTTAAAATTGTTATTTCCTTTTTGTATTTGGTCACATTTGTCACGATTCTTGTTTATTGTACGCACTAATTTGTCATAATTTTCATTAAATCGCTCTCCATACTAGCCACACGAAAAAAACGACAAACGATTTTAAATCTTATGTCTGTTGGACTTTATTGTTAGTGGAATGCACACTTTAGATTTTCATTTGAATCTATGTAGTTTCATGGGACAAAAGTATAAGACCACAATAAGTTCTTTTGAATATTTAAATCACTGTCTTGTTAGAACGAGAAGGGAGCTTCTTCCCAGTGAGTACCTTTGCATAGATGCTGCATGGGCAAAGTCAAATGCCACCGGGTCCATTTGATTTTGATTACTATTTTTCGGCCTCCAAAGAGTGGTTGACTTCATTTGAAAGGCTATGCGCACAAATTTATGTCCAGCCTCCGGTGATGTAATGGTGACCAATCCGTAATAGTGAAGTGGATGGTATTGCAATTATTTGTGGAGGATGCAATGATATGTTCGCTTAGCTCCGGAACACGACGACCACCACTTATTACACTTTTTTATCATGCAATATTCTTCTATAGCAGTGAGTCTTTGCGATCTGAAAGAAGTGGAGGGACGGTTAACTTTCTTTACATTTTAGTGGGGTCCCAAAATAGTGCTAGTGTACTAATCCAAAAGTCCACTTTTACAAGTCTCTCTTTTTAAAAGGCATAAATGTAAACGGGTGGCTTACCATTGCTCTCACTAAACAATGCATGTAAATGATAACAGATAATGCCGATGGCGACAGGCGATTCCCCACTATCAAGGCTAAAGGATTTTCTATTAGGCCAATATTTTACTATACGGGAGCAGTTGAGAAGATAAATGAGCATTTGTGTGTATCTGCATCTTTGTAGTACTTAAGAACACTTTTTATTTGGATCACTTATTTTGCGCCTGATACTACTACTACTACTACTACTACCACTACTACTACTACTACCACCACTACTACTACTACTACTACCACTACTACTACTACGGTTTGGATGAAGTGCATTTACCTCGGGCGGGAGAATCTTTAACTTATCCACATCAGAGGGACTTAGTTTGGCATCTGTCCCATCCTTTAGTTCTATTGGCAAGCTGTGAACCATCTTGAAAAGTCTAATTTCGTGTTTTCCTTAACCGCATAGCGTATCGGTGTGGGCGATGCCATTACGGTAAACTCCCTTCTATACGAAACAAATGTGTTCGGCCCCATTTCTCCCGTTACGTATTGTGTTTTAAACCAGTAAAAACAATTGATGGCCAACAGAAGTATCCGCCTCTGATTCCTGCTTTCAGACTGAACCCAACTCTAAATTCAGTTGAAGCTGATGATAGGGTGAAGCACAGATCCTCAGCCTCATGAAAGCTTACGATTGGCGCAGGTGGCTCGAGGGTGTTTCCTTGTAGCACAGTGTATCAAGGGGAGTGGCGGGACGACTATCTGCATGAATGTTGATCACTTGGGCGGTCATCTTACTTTAGCCATGTGGGCTAGCCTTCGGGCTAGGTCGAAGCATTGTTTCTACACTCCGTGCCCAAATATAAGTATTCGGTCATTCCCAGTGCCTTCCACAACCGAACAGGAAGTCTTGGGACGTTGCATAAATTTTCTTGACTTTCCACCTTTTAGTCATTTTGAAATTCTGACGTATGAAGATTTGAGTAAAACTAAAATGCAACAAATTTATGCGATGATGCAGTAAATAACAAGGCAAATATGTATCGTGTAAATGCACGCATCAACGGGACAGAAAGTGTTGTTGAAGGTCACATTATGGTGCAAAAAAGAAGTTGAATTTATGACAACTTTTTTGACAACGCGCCAAGGCAGTTCATGTAGCTTCATTTCTAAAATGCAAAAAAAATATTTTGGGATGAATCTAAACACAATCTTGAACAGCGATTTCTTTTTACTACCTTGATAAGATCAAGTGCCCTCCGCTGGTTCCACATGAAGTACCTCCTCCTTGGGCTCCAAGTAGTCCTCGACGATGGCAACAGTCGAAGCTATATCGTTAGGTGGAAAAGGATCGACTCTTCGAACAGTTTCATTAGTTTTTTCGTAGTCATTCTGTAGGAAGCAAAATAACTAAAATGAAAGATTTACAAAAACTACATTAATTGCCATGAGATGACAGTTGTGCCATTTTGGAAAACCATTGCCAAAACGTCTCCTTTCTCCTTAAGTATTGTAGACGTTAGCATTCCAATTACTGTCATTATTTTTTGCTCATGAGTACTTAATGAATTTGCTGGAGTTTCCCAATTATCAAGTTTGTAACCAAGCTATGACTTCAGTTTGACAGTGGACGTCTTTCAAAACCTCGTAATGTGTCAACAAACGGAATCAACCGGCATGAACAACTAAGTGGAATTACACTTGAAAGGAATTAGTACAGAAGATATGTATATCAAAATGACATCACTGTGATAGGGCTAATTTGATTTTCAAAGCAGGAGACGAGGAGAGAAAGTGGAATTTCACTTCCTGCACTAAATTATGAGCATGTGTGCTATAAAAGTCCAGGTCCCATTAATCTCAGTAGTTTGCTTGGACGATGGGCCCCAGATTGTGCGAGCTATTCTATTCCCGTTCGAATTTTCGAAAATGTTTATTTATGAAGTTGGAAAGGTGATTGGTAAAGCCGTCAATTTAAAAAAATGAACGCAAAATTATACGAATAACAGCATATTTTATACTACTGAAGTGGAATCGCTTGAAGTCCTTTGTCCGAAGTTAAAATTGCCGTAGGCGGGTGAATTCAAGGCTGCCTGGAGTGACTGCTATGGAAGCACTGCTTACCTCTAAAACACTCGCTTCCTCAGCATCCTCAACGATACATTCAAGTGGCTGCATTGGTTCCTGATGTTGGTTGGAGGCAGGCATAATAATGCCATATCGGTCGTCTCGGGGTGAAGCAGTGTACCGCACCTCTTCCTCTTCCTCAGTCTCCTCTGCCAGGTAGTTGAGACAAGAGGAGGTTGAGGTGGGCACTGACACCTCCGACACCGATTTCATCATCGTACCAGTGTTACCCGTGGTAGTTGTAGTGTTAATGGTCGTGGCCACGTAGCTCGATGTCGAGGCCGTGAGACCAGAATCACTCCATAAACGAGTCCTGCCCTGCAGGAAAATAAGTCACCTTGCAACTCGGCAACACAAAAAACGTAAGTAATTATGCAGATGTCAGTTGGTGTTACTAAAGATTGCCAAATTTTACCAGTCATAGAAGTCCAATATTTATTAATGATAATTACAAAACTGCAACTAGTGAATCCTCGTCCATTCGTCCTCTTTAGAGCCATTTAGCTGGGCAAATCTTAAAGCCTTTGGCTTTTTTAATAAAAGTAAAGTACTTAAAATGAATGCAAAGGAAATTATAGAGGTAACAATTGAGAGTTTTAATAAATTTTGGTGGAACTAAGAAATCATCACCTGTTTGTGTTTTTTCATCCAATGTACTCGCTTAAAGTTGATAAAAGTCAGTGGATCCAGTTCCATGAAACTGGTTCTCTGAACTATTTCATCAAAACTAGGTCGTCTATCTGGATCCTCTTGCCAGCCTAAAAAAATAAGAATACAGAATCTGCTTGAACTGTTTCTTTGCAAGTTAGGCTTGATTTTTAAAAGGAAAAACCAAAATTTATTTGCGTAAAGGCTTAAGAAGGAAGCAAAACTTACATTTGCATAGCAATTAATAAGAGAATGATCAGGGGAACTCACACTCAACCATGAGGTCGTAGAGTTCAAGACTAGTGGTTACTGGTTGGGTCAGCCGAAGACCTTTCTCCAAGTATTGAATGAGATGTCGAGTGTGAATCCTCTCGTAAGGTTTTCGGCCGAGAGTGAATATCTCCCACAGGGTCACACCTTTATCAATTTACACAATTAGAAGTTGTGCCGATGGGGTCAAAAGCAGAGTGAGAATTAGATTCCAGCCTACCGTAGGCCCAGACATCAGATTTACTGGAGAATATGCGCTTCTTAATGCACTCAATGGCAAGCCATTTGACCGGCATAAGACCGCCCTTGGCCGTGTATTCTCCACCTGTGTCTTCAATACACTTAGCCAATCCAAAGTCTGTTATTTTAATCTAAAAATAAACGATTCAGAAAATATACCAGTTAAGCAAACAATGAAACAAAGGACGCGGTTTGTTTTTAGGAGGTCCATGTGTTTATACACTGATGACATTCGGATTGAGGTACAGAGATGCACATTTTCAAACTGCTGACATCGTGGTTCGGTTGATGAAGAAATATGCGACAACCCATCCTGACAATTCTAAATGTCAGAGTTTCATTTTCAGTTAGACAAAACACATTCACATTAAAATCGCTAATAGAAAGGAGAAAAATTTCTGATTTACTACAGATCGCAGTGATTTTATTGTTTAACTCCCCCATTTGGTCACAAGGAGCATCTTACTTTAAGTCATCGACGTGGTCATTCGACTTTTGACCTCTTGATTCCCACACATCTTGCCTTGTTTTACTTTTCTCCTATTTTAATGGAAGGGTGGACGCCACTATCAGCAACTACACGTGTCCTCTATTCTCCAGACGTGTTATTTTATAAGTAAAAGTGAGTAAAATGAGACCCAGAGATCTTGATAAATACGGCATGCCTCTGCCATCATTCCACTACTTGCAGAGGTTTTAGGCAAACACAGCTAGGGGAGATTAAAATGAAAACAGGAAAAAGCGGAGGAATAAAGGTGCAACTTTTCCTTGCAAAACCCGTTAAAATTTTGTGACTTGCGGTGGAAAAACAAGATAACATGCATAGATTTTTTTTCCTCTTTTAGTACTTTTTTTAAAACAGAACAGCACGCCAAATTCAGCCGAGTTGTCTTGAAGGTTCACTGACATTGTAATCAGACACCACTTTGCCAACTTGCAGTTGGATGACTGTCTCAGGGGGGTCGGTGACTGTTGCCTTAACACCGTAGAACGCGTGTGGTGAGTGATGCGAAAGGTGGCTTGAAGGTGTGTCAGAGTCGAGGTCGGCAAGATTAGAGGAGCCACACAGTACTTTGATTGCCGATTCACTCTTCCTTCTGGCTTTTACAGGAAAATTAAAACTCCTTGTCGATACTTCCACCGGATGGAATTGCCTCTGGATCATGTTGCTAGCTCTCAACCCTCTATTACTTTGGAACCTCAATTTCAACTCGAGCAGTGTGTCCTCTTTTAGCTTCAGTAGAAATTCTAAACCGTTATGTGCTTAAGCACACCTGTCAATGCGAAATGGTTACTTTTATCATGCTAATGCTTTAAGATTTGCTTTTGAAGGGCAAACATAAAAAAAATGGCTTCTCTTATGCACAAAATTGTAACTTTGAGGATACTGAATGTGATAAATTTGCATCCTGACTTCCTATGTCATTTTTTCGAACTTAAAATGTGCAACAGTGGATCGATGAAACCAAGTGACGAAGACTAGTCACCTTCGGAATGCTTCTCGAGTTTGATTGCTTGAGAGCTATAGTAACAAGAAAAAAGACTAAGTTCTGAAACCATATCTCACTCAATGAAATTGCTCCTAAAAAGTTCGAGAGTTGGTTGCCTTTTCATTGAAGATGACCTATTCTTCATCAAAAGCAATTAGTTAATATGAAATATTGGGAGTTGGGTTTCTACTTTAAACCATTTCGCCATTAAAGGAGTTGATTCTGAAATACTTGTAATTTCAAATTGCCACCTTGAGGAGGATGGGTAGCACTGTCTTCCTTTGTATTATAAGCAATTCCGTGTTGCAGGTAGTAAAAATTAAGAATTTTCAATTTTGAAGTCATGCTTCGAGTGGAGAGAAATAATACTGAGATGGGCGAAAGGGAGAAAGACACTCTACCTGTTCCGGTGTTTCCACAAGCACATTACGAGCTGCCAAGTCACGATGAATGATGCTTCGCGAGGCGAGGTATGCCATTCCACTGGCTATCTGGTTGGCCCACTTTAGCATGATTTTAGGCGTTATAACATCGCAGTCAATTGCATTGGGGCCGCCATGTCGATGAAGGTAGGAGAGCAGGCACCCCAAAGGCAGGAATGACGTGACAAGTTGTGGACGCGCAGTCATACAGAGGGCCAGCAAACGAAGGCAGCAAGGGTGGTTGACCGTCGCCATTACCTATAAACACAGTTAGAACGTTTGAAGTACCATTTGTTGCGGTAATCCAACGTATTTGATAACTTACTCGAGCCTCATCAAGAAGAGCTCTTGAAGTGGAGGGATCAGTCTCATCAGTAAGCACTTTAATGGCAACTACATGTTCTTCTGCATTTTCTATGTGAAACTTTTCTCCTTCCGCCTCGTAATCTTCGGAGAAATGAAATTGGCACTCCTGCGAAACACATGTCAACGTTTCACTTTGCTCGGAAGTCCCAGATTCTTCCGCTTGTGTTGGAAGCTTCAATCCTGTTTTCTCCTCTAGGTTTACC